AATATTAAAAATACTACACAGGTGTGGACAATATGTCTCCGGAATGGCGAGAGTCACACTAAAACACAAATGGTTTTAGATCCGGCTTTCAACCACTGCCAGCTCCCTGAGCTCGTTAGCTGGACGATGGTATGCCGACCGAGACCCACGGACACACATGACAGCGGACCGGAGCAGCGCGAAAGACAGCCTGCAGCGCACATATGCAACATGGTGTGCATAGGGCATGCTGGAATCAGCCCTGGCAAGCAAGCCACAGAGGCGCTTAAGGAACCTTTCACATTCAGGGGCGGCAACACCAGAAGTTGACAACACCAGCGGGCTGAATGTGCCACGATCCACATTGACGATTCGCTCTCCGTACTGCAGCTTCTTCTGGCGCTCGTGCTGAAGCAGTAGGGCATCCAGTGGTTGGGCCGAGTAGGACGCCGCATCAGGATGGAAGACGCGTACATCAAAGAAAGCATCCTGTGCTCGGGTCCAGAAGCCACGGGCACGGACATCAGCGCGGGCATCCTCGGCGGTGTTTGTTGATGCAGCCATAAACACCTCTCCAGAGAGCGGGGCTAGCTGAGGCTCGATTGCCACTGCGTGGCAGACCTCCGTGAGTAGCTCCCCTACCATGTCACGGACTTCGTTATGGCGGATTGTAGGGAAGCCACCCCGGGGGCAACACATGGCATGAGCAGTGGAGAACAGAACTCCGCAGGCACACTTCGTGGGGACATCGAGGAGAGGCCAGTCATACCGCAATGCAAGGCCGTCCCTGAACTCCTGCTTCGAGAGGTGGAACCCATGTTCCTTGAGAGGAAGAGCAGTGAGCCAGGAAGAGGGGCCTTTGCGGGACAGCTCATCCATACGACGGGCCAAGGGGCGGTCCGCAGCTTCTCGGAGAGCAGCGAAAGAGGCAGCACTAGCTTTCTTGGAGGACTTGGCAGCAGATGCTCTCTCACGGCGGGCTAGCTGATCCACAAAGTCGCAGGAATGATGCTGCCACTCTCGATCGTGCTGGTAGATGATCTCGTCAACCTGGCTGCTCGTGATGACTTGGGAAGCCTGCAGTTGGGAGGTAGCAATTTCTTTGAAGTATGGCAAACCGATTCCACCGAGCCGGCAAGGTAGCCGTAGAAGAGAGAGGTCATCCGCCGTGAATGTGCGTTTCCCTGTCAGAGCCGGAAGGAAGTGCTCCGTGACCGTGTCATCCAGGCGCTGCAGCTGTTCAGCTGAGAACTCCAGTGTACGAAGGAGATATGTCCATCGACCACGCAATCCGTGTGTGAGGGCGGCATACGCCGCATGAGGTTCGGTAGTGGCAATCTCGGACAGTCGCATAAGCTCCTGCTGCCAGTCTTGTACTTTCCCAGCTGTATAGCCAGCGATGAAATCCGGTGTCCCTATAGCGGCACCCAGGTAGCGTGCTCCATCCGTGACCACTTCAATGCCAGTTCCTGCAAAGACACTGTGGGCCAGGTTGAGCAGGTCAGGCTTGACGAGGAGGAGAGTCTTCGAGGCGTTGACATGGTAACCGTAAGGTTTCCCGGTCTCGTCCACATCATCCCACCAGCGTCGAAGGGCCCGTAGCTTGCCTGCACCACTTGAATCATCGGCATACCACAATTGACGGATGTTGGCGTGGGTAGTGCGGAGGTGCCGTACGAATGGTAATGTAGCGAGGGCATAGAAAACCATCGACAGAGGGTCACCTTGTGTGGTACCCTCTGCGGAGGAAAGCTCACCACCGCCAGAAACGAAGAGGCGGGCATCATCTTGGTAGCAGTTCAGCAGTGTGGTAGCCAGGGAAGGACACAAGTGGCGAACATTGTGAAGAGCTGCTTGGCGGTTCAGGCAATTGAAGGCATTCTTCGCGTCAACTAGTAGGACTCCTTCAGTTGTGGCGTCCTCATACAAGCGCTTCATGGCGTGGACCGCTGCTTCTATCCCAGCTGGCAATCCAGAACACTTCTGGAGAAAACCACAGGCCTCCATTACATCGTCTGACGTTACTCGGAGAATGGATTTGGCTAGAATGCGACGGAGGACCTCAGACACCCCAATGGGCCTGACACCTGGGTTCTTGTCCAGGGCAATTAGACGACAGGCGGTGAAGGGGGTAAGAGAGTCTGGCGGCAAGGTTTGTGTTGCTAGCAAGCGGCCGAAGGACGCCATCGCCGAGCAAAGGTTGTTGGAGGCCCCTTTGTACGCCGAGCACATACGTCGCCATGCTGACGAGTCGAGACCAGAGGGACCGGATATTTGTACTCATTTTATTGGGTGTACCGGTAAAATTAATACACTACCACTTTCATAATTTCTCCATCCTAAATTTTCTAAAGGCACAAGGCCTTGTGCCTTTAGAAAATTTAGGATTATGTTCTTTGCAATTACCCGGGTATAAACATTGTATTCTGGGTAATTTTGTAATTTTCCTGTGGATTCCTGGTGGATTTTAGAATTGAGGTGCGGACGCATCATTCTGTAAATCATTCTGTATACAATTATTTGTGGTTTTTACCGAATAATAGGGGATTCACACACACGGGTAAAACTATGGTACTGGGGGAAGGGAAGAACCTCTCGGGAGGCAAAGCCGTGGCCGTGGGCCTCAGGGCGTTTGTCAAGGGAAAATCCCATGGCTAGAAGACGCGCATGCGTAGATATTGTCTTTGGCGAGAACTCTGAACGTGTGTAGTTGTACGAGTGCATCGCAACTTGCATTTTCAGACAGCGGCCATCGGAAAATCGTGCATGGCGAATGCAAGATACAGTAGAGAATGTACTACAAAAAAGCAGTACAGATTATTTTTTTAGTTGCCCCGCCACAAGTTCATGGCCAAACGTGCGGCCAAGGCAAAACTGACCACGGGTGTCACTCCGTTGAACTTCTGGGTCTGGACTTTTACCTTGTCCCGTTACCTCAGGTTTACCCGTACCGTGTGTATGAATCCCCTATAAAGCTTTGGGATAATAGTACCGTTTATTAATTAAGTCCGCTGCAAACGCCCACCCCATTTTTGCAAGATCTAAAGACATGTGCATGTGTGTCTCCAGTCTTGGGCCACTCTTGCCAGTCTTGGTGAGCTTTTCGCCTCCATAATTATTACTTGCCCCTTATTATTTCACGGAGAAGGCGGAGAGCCCGAACGTGCGCATTTATATTTTTATTATTTGCCATGGCGACCCCGTAAGCTCTCGTAACCAGTAACTGGCAGGGCCAGGGCAGGGCAGGGTTGGGTCTTTTTTTCTTTTTTCTTTGACATATCTACGTCTCGTTTTGTTCGCCCGTAAAAGAGGCTTTGGATATTGACCTGAAGAAAGAAAGAAAATTTGCAAGATATGCTGGTACATGGTCTGTACACACTGGGCCCATGCACTGTCACCCCTAATTGAACTGTCTTTTTCGTCCTTTTTCATTGATTGTTATTGGCCATGGCATCATGGTACAGTTTATGCACTCTTGATGGTACGGATAGTAAAAAAAAACTTCTTATGAGGCCAAACTAAAGAAGGTGTGTGGTTCGACTAACATGGACATTTTTTTTACGGGCGGGCGGGCGGATTTTTTTTTTAAATATATTTTTTAGTACATGTAAATACACTGTATACGCGTATCGAGTAGACTCTACTACCAGCACAAGGCAGCAGTCACTGCACTGCACTGCAGTACAACTACAAGTCAAGTCCAAAAGGAGCCGCCTGCGTCCGCAGACTCACGCCGCACAGCACGTAGACGTGGACGTGTTCAGTCCACGTACGTCAGTCACACGACAGCCCGCCGAAAAAAAGTTACGGTCGGGCTGAAATTGTACGGTCGGTCGGGTGAGTCGAACCACACACCTTCTTTAGTTTGGCCTGATTCTTTTCTTTTCTCTGTTTATTCTTTTTACCAGGCGCGCGTGGGCCATCCCCTACACGTAGGCCTAGGCCCTATCAAAATGGGTGCCTTATTATTTTCTGTTTTATTAGCTTGGTTTTTTTTTACACTTCTTTGTGCGAGTTTCGTACGTACGTGTGTGATCGTATCAGATTAAAAAACGTAACCACTGTGAAAAAAAACTGAAAAAAACTGTCACCCCTACTGTACGAAAGTGCATCTCACACCGTAGTGCGAAGACCGCTTTGCTACGGTAAACTATGTCCATTTTCTCGGTTTCAAAATCTCTTTGGGCACTTGCCACGAGCTACACTGTACATGTAGCTCGTTGTGATTTTGTGATGACGGTTGTTTTATTTCGCAAATCCAAACGGGAGTTTCTTCCGAATAACAAGGTAGCGAAGAACAGAGTATTACAGGAACCAAAATACTTCTGAAGGTGTTTAACCCATCATTTCCAAATCACACAACGCTCAAAGGCAAGTGTTTTTCTCGAGCACTTCAGAGTTTTCAACAAGTTAGCAGCGACTTAGTAGGTGTAGCTTCTGTGACATACCCTGTTCGACTTGCAACTGCAATACTGCGACCAGTCAAGTCGTTGAATGACGCTTCGTCAGAACAATCACTGTTCCGTTCTGAAAGCGCGACATCGTGGCACTGCAGAAATTTCATGAAAATCAGATGGATTCTACGGCATTATCACATGGAGAGTGAACTACCACAAAGACGACTCATTTATCGAATAAAAGGGAATCTCCACTACATCGAAGTTTTTTTTTCTTTGCAGCAAGATCATGACAATCGCTTTTGCAGAGCAAGAGCCTCCGGAGCTCCTGGTAAAGACGTACCAGTAGGCAGTTTTGTAAGCATTACAGCCGTTTTCGTACGCATTCGACCTTCATGCCAGTTTTCTACAACTATATTGACCTGAAAAAGACGAAAATAGTATGGACCCGCTGGGGGCATGGGGTGGGCGTTTGCAGCGAAGTGGGCGTTTGCAGCGAAGTGGGCGTTTGCAGCGAACTTTACGGTATCGGTACCGGTTTGTACGAGTACTCGTAGTGGCTTGGATCACTGGACAAAACTTCAAGTCGTCATGTGGATCTACCAGCTGCGTCCGTCCGTCCGAGCAAGCAGGAGTCATCGACATCTGGCTCTTTCAAAGCAAGCAGGAGTCATCGACATCTGGCTCCTTCAAATAATACCGCCCCAAGACCTCGCCGTGGTCGGGAGTTTTCCATGTCTGCAGTGTGTGGCCGGAACGAAGCCGCGAGGGTGGAGTTGAATGTTGCAGTTCCATCCTGGCCTGGTGACGACAAGCTATTCTGTAGTGTAGGTGTCTCGCTCCGACATTACCAGCAGTCATCATCGTTGCACGACACATCAGCCTTATTGGAAAACAGGTGCTCAGGAGCCTAGCGGACTTGTCACCTACACTTGCAGGATGCGCCTTGGCTTTGGCACACAGTCTCCACGAAGACGGGCCTGTACCGCTGGTGTTGTCGTATTGGCTGCGCTGTTCGGTCTCCTGCCATTCTTCTGGAAGGGATCGCTGTCAAGTCACTTCATGGGTAAGCCAAATAGACGCGGACCTTGTGCACAAATACACATTAGAGAGAGGGAGGGGGAGGCTACTTGGTTGCAACTCCGAGGTTCATGTTCTTCACAAATTAAATCAGGCTACATGCACGTAGAAACTTTAGTATAACGTACATAGTACCTCCAAGCCATGACGCAAAATCAGTACTTTTTATCCCAGGTACTTTTTATCCAAGCTCAAATATCTGGAAAAGGATATGCATGCAGTGCCTTCAGAAAAGTACTTTATATCCAATGCAAGAGAAAAGTATGAAATATCCGGTGTACTTTATACTGAAGTTTCACTGTCAATTACACATTAGAGAGGGGGTGGGTGCTTGGTTGCAACTCCGAGTTTCACGCTCTGCAGCTCTTCACGATAATCAGACTACATGCACATACCGTATTGACGCCCATACGAGGGCATGCACTTATTCGAATACAAGGGCACCTCCACGTATAAAGGCATGGAAAAAACTTTTAAACGACCCAAGAGTGTATTCTCGTGTAGAGCTCTTTCAAGGTTGTACCAACAGTCACTTTTTGGGGTCACGTGCAAAAAAATCTAATCGCTGGTGAACAGGCGAAGCCCGGTTCACGTTCACACTGTATGGGAATGGATGCGTGGAGGTGAAAGAAGCAGTTGAATGGCACTCCACTTGATGTCGACTGACTCATGTTGAATCAGAGCAGTTGCCAGGAAGCCCTTCCATGGCTTGGGCGAAAAAGAACAAGCTTCAGAATCGCTCCAAGCGCTGGTGGAGACGAACCTGTCACATTTCGTATGTACTTTTCAATGCATTTTGACTTTCGACCTGTCCACCACAATCTCAGATTGATCGCCGGGGCGGTGTGGGAAAGGCGTCCTTGAAAAAGCTCTATTGAAAGACATGCCCTTGTATCCAGAACATTTGTTTCCAGCGAAATGGGAAAAAACGCATTTTTCGCATTCAAGGACTTGTATATGGGGGGGGGGGGGGCATATAATTATAAAGTACATTTTACCTGCAAAATCAGTACCTAGTTATTATTACGAAGTAGTGGTTGCGACTTCGGCGATTATTTGTAAGAAAGGGTTTGCTCCCCACACTGGAGCTCGCGCTATTCCGCCGACTTTACTTGACACTGGACTGACTCACGACTGCCATCCAGAGCACACGAGAAGTCCATCGAACCTTCGACTCGGCAAACCTGCAAGAAAGCACCACTCCCTGCTCAATACACAGTGTTTCGGGGAATTCACCCCTCATCAGTTGAGCTTGAGCAATCTTCCTCAGCCTACTCAAGCTCAACTGATGAGGGGTGAATTCCCCGAAACACTGTGTATTGAGCAGGGAGTGGTGCTTTCTTGCAGGTTTGCCGAGTCGAAGGTTCGATGGACTTCTTGTGTGCTCTGGATGGCAGTCGTGAGTCAGTCCAGTGTCAAGTAAAGTCGGCGGAATAGCGCGAGCTCCAGTGTGGGGAGCAAACCCTTTCTAGTTATTATTATTATTAACTCGTATCCATATTTCCTTTTCCTTTCTACATTAATGTATGGCTCAACATCCGAGTTTCAAATTGCACACCTGATGAGCCGTCACGAACCATACAGCGAAACGTACGTCGTGTGAAACAACTTGTTTTGTAGTCAACTAGTCCATCACAATGTCATGCATGAGGAATACTGTAGGAGTTTGGCTTTCGACTTGTACAATTCGTTTTCGCAAAGCTTCCCCTTTCTTTACTTATCTTTGATATTTATGACCCACCCAAGTTGGGTGGTGTGCTGCTTTGCTGCTTCGAATTGTAGTTAGACCGCTTTGTCAAATATCGTACTGGTCTCGTCATCATCCAGTAACAATCGACATCTTTGTTCCGTTGGGACTGTAGCTTTTGCTCGTTTTCGTTGCGCTTGCCTTCTTCTCTTTGGTCTTTCCATAACCTTGAACCTTCCAAGTTGGAAGGCTGTCGGTTAGCGCTACGGAGATCTGTTGAAGCTAGGTGTCAGGACGTCGAATGTCTCAGTACTCTGTCAGTTTTGTGCCTAGTTATTGCACTTTCTGACTGTACAGTCAGTATCGCCTATAGCGTTGGTGTTTGATTTTAAGCATTTTATCACTATAAGCGATATATTACTATGACCGATACTGCATGCAATGCATGCGAGTGGGGTGTCAAACGACTCAGCGCGCCGTGCACATACGCACTACATACATGTACAATGTCATATCTGGCTGTAGCTCCTGACGCACAAAATCAGGATTTCCTCATGATGGAGGCATATTTTTGGCAACTTGTACAAGCAAAACTCACCAAACAACACTCACTGGACAAGTAACTTAGTTCTTCACGAAGAAGTAACACCCTGTTCTCCTCTGACATCGCTTTATTTTTCATCAATCACTATAACCGATGCAAAAATAGTGTAATAAAGGTCTTTTGAAATATGAATTTGATCACTATAGGCGATATATTACTATAGACGATTATTACTATACGCGATAACTGTGTATACTTAGTTATGGCAAATGAAAATGAATTTGAAGAATTGATCACTATATCCGGTATATTACTATAGCCGCCAACCTTATAGGCGATACGGACTGTATATAGTATCCAGTTACAGTGATGGAGAGTTACTCTTAACTCGTATCCATATTTCCTTTTCCTTTCTACATTATTATTATTATTATTATTATTCAAACAGTAGTTTGGAGGCGGTGGGAAAACAGTTTCGTAATAAGTATTCGCATGCAACGACGCAAATCCACACAATTCAGTAGACACTTCTTTTCTATCAAACGTTTTCTTTCCCTTCTCTTCAGGATAGTACAGGGAATGTTGGAAATTTGGAAAAACACATAACTATATAGAAAAATAGAGAAAAAGACCATCCCGAAAACCGCCCAATGTGACACCGGAGCTCACGGACACCGGAAGAGTTACCAGAAGCAAGGTGAAGAGACGAAGTACTGGAGATTTGAATACGTCGGTACTGGAAGTGACAACAACGATCAACAAGAGGAAACGAGGAAGACCGAGGAGTCAAACGAAAACGACCATGAATTCAAAGGACGTTGGAGGTGTCAACAAGCCCAACGGAAGAGAACAACGGCAAACGTCGAAGGTGACAGAGCTAAATGATCGGACATCGTCCATCAAGCGTCATTTGTCGGGAAGTGCTAATTGTCGTGAGTTGTATAGTGATGATGTCTTTTCGGTTTTAACTCGTGGAAGGTCTAAGTTACATCTTGCTGTGTTAGAAGCTCTGTATATTCGTAAACTAGATCCAGAACTATGTGTACAGAAGGAGAATGTGTTATCGTTGCAGTTGTTTGGTGTCACACCTCGTGAAAGTGTGACAAGTGCTTCTTGATGTGTTCAACGTGTTTGTCTACAACTTGCTGCTTTTGTTTTCGAGTTTTTTTTTTTTCACACTTTAGTCATTTTATCGCCTATGTTGAAGTGTTGACTTTTTCTCTATTTTTCTATATAGTTATGTGTTTTTCCAAATTTCCAACATTCCCTGTACTATCCTGAAGAGAAGGGAAAGAAAACGTTTGATAGAAAAGAAGTGTCTACTGAATTGTGTGGATTTGCGTCGTTGCATGCGAATACTTATTACGAAACTGATTATTATTATTATTTTTATTATAAAACTTTTGATAGGGCAATACCCACAGGCCTAAGGCCTTTTGACAGGTTTATCCAAGGTACGTTATATCCGAGCTCAAATGTCTGGACAAGAATATGCCATGTCCTCGAAAAAGTACTTTATATTATATTATCCAATTCAAGAGAAAAGTTTGTAATATCCGGGGTACTTTGTACTGAAGCTTCACTGTGTGTTGTGAACATTCAGCATGTGCATATTTGTGGGTACCTTAAGTATTGGATGCCATCGTTCCATGAAATGTAGTCCCGACTACTGTGCTGCTCACTGAAATCTAGTCGCGTCATTCGAGTTTTGCGCCTTGCATCATTTCGCAGTTAGCCCTTTCCCAAAGACGCCAACATTTTTCGCATCTTTAGCTTTTTGCAACCATGCCAAAACAACTGAAAGTTGCCGAAATCGCATCTATTATTTTCAGAAAAAGCTCATAAGTTGCTAATATCGCAACTCAAAATGAGCGAGTTCTTGTGCATAATGATGCCAAAAAGTCAAAGCAACCAATAAATGAGCGGAAATGGAAAACACTGTGGCGCAGCACAACTGCCTGAGTAAAGTCATGCCGATATGTATGCTAGATGCGGGGGGGGGGGGGGGTGGGGAGCCTGTACTGGTATTCCCACTACAGCACTTCATATACATGCTAAGTCTACCAAGGGATCAGGCAGGCACAATGGGTTGGTCAAAGACCATGATTGAGATACGAGAGGTACCCGGTTCAAGTCCTGCCTGGTAGCGGTTTTTCCAGCCGTGCTGCTACTCACAGTCAACTGGGAACTTGTGGCCAGGCACTAGGCCCAGACAGATCCTGCCGGCAATTCTTTCAGCAAAATATCGAAGAATAGAAAGAGCGGAAATTGCCGGCAAAATCAAAGCAAAATATCGAGATGTTTGGTAAAATCGATGCCTGATACATGTACTTGGATTTCCTTGTTTCTTACCCGTTCAGCAGGACACACTGCCCAGGACGAGATCATGTCACCGAAATATCACCGGGATTCACTGTGGATCGACTTGATTTTGGAAGATCTCAGGGACACGTGCGTGCAGCGTGGAAACCCGTGTTGAGAAATCGACCCTGCGATTTTTATGAAACATTGTACGGGATTGTACGGGAAGTGGATAAAATACACGTTTTTCCGGAGCAAAATGGAGCAAAATATCGAGTTTCTTGTTCCAGGTTCGGCAAAATATCGAAGATTTCGCAGCAACATTTTGCGGCAAAATATCGAGGCGAGCGGAGCAGAATCTGTCCGGGCCTACCAGGCACAAGGGGTACATGGATGCGGCTAATGGGGTTACTCGGCACTTCTACCAGTGGTTGTGAGACTTGTCCACTCACCCCATCATTAGGCGCTGCATCTGCCGCTAGGGTTTACCGGGTGTTAGCGGCCACCGTGAGTTCCCTTTGGGAACGGACACGATAATTTACTTACTTACTTACTTAGTTGCCAAGGGATCAAATGCTGATGGATGGAGTCCGGAGAAAAATAATTATAGCATTAGAATAAACGGCAGGGAGACAACAATCTTAGGGCCGCCGCGGTGAGGGGACGAGCTGAATTAGCATTTGGTTGCTTTATTCGACTTTTCCCGTTCCCGTTGGCGTCTTTCCCTCAAACCAGTGAATAAAATAATTAAAAAATAAAATTATTCAATACTTGCATGCAAAAGCAGTCGAATCGTGATTGCATCTACAGACTAGACAACAGTCGGAGTTTATTGATTGATTCCAGCACATCTACATGTACACTGTAGTGCCGATGGCAAGTATTCAGTCGCCTCCTCAGAATCACTCAGAATCGTTTTGCCTTGTCTGTAATCTCCATTGACCCAGGTCGGTTGAGGCACACGAGCGGCACGCTAGTGTACGTGCTGGACAATGCAGTTGACAAGATGAGGAGACCACTGCAGACAGGTAAAGTTTCTTTACACTAAAAGGGGTTTGTCAACTGACAACCACTCTATTTAGTTGCAATTCACTCTTGGCGCGTGCGCTGGATGACAATTCTTTTATTAATGTCGAAAAAATTATTGACGTTTCGGGCCAGTCACCCATCGTCAGAACTTTCTGAACGAACGTTACTAGTTTACACTTGACGTATTTTCAAACACTCCACCACTCCACACCGCGATCTTGGCCCACATTCACAACACCATATTCTATAGCAAGGAAAGAGTCGTTCTTGGGTAGATGTTGCATATCCTCCAGACAGCTGCAGCGCAGTGTGGAGGGTGGAGCGTTTCAAAAATTCCAAATGGCCAAGTTTGTCGCAGCTTCTACGCTATAAATGAAGTAGTGTATACCGTACTGGCAATATATGTTGCCGCGTAACGCAGGGGGGTGCGGCGTAACGCGCGACCAGGCTAGTGCGACACATTTTCGTTGAGTTCGTAACGCGCGTCCGGCGGGGTGCGGCGATCTTTTCATTGCAGTTTGCACTGCACAAGAAAAATGATGTGGCAAAAGCAAAAAAAATGATGCGGCAATAGCAAAAAAGTGATGCGGCAATAGCAAAAAAAGGACTGCGGCAATATAGAAACCTGTGTAACGGCTCCTGTGCGACTTTGCATGTAACGCCCTGCGTGCGGCAAACATGTGCCAATGTAACGCTTCATGGCCTCACTGCGGCAACATATATTGCCAGTACGGTAGTAATGTTTCTACTCGTGTGCCCATATATGACTCCCTCGATTTAGGCTGAGGCCTGTGGAGAATCCATAAAATACAAAATACAAAATATTACATGTATACATGTAGTCTATAATCCGGGGATGATCCGGACGCAAAGGGTTGTTGAAGGCTCGGACGTTTACTCTAGACACGTACCACAATCATGGCAAGAATGGTGAATTGAATGCTACGATGTATACAATGATGATGCTGGCTGTGTAGATATGCTGGCCCTGTGCTGGCCCGGGCAAAGCCTCCTCAGCGGAGTTTTTCACATGAAACGAGACTCATGTCAGCTACTGAGTTTCACTGCTATGCTTGCTCTCTTCCATGCCACAATCTGACATAGTACTTTTTTTTAAGATAAATGTTGAATCTTTCACCCAACACTGTATACAAATTGAAACCCATCTGGAGCATTTTTTGCCCTGCCGCTGAGCAAACTTTACCCCGTATTTCATATAGAATATGGGTATGCTTTGCTTTGTATTCCATACTATTATTCAACTTTCTCTCACTCCACGCCTGCCTGCTTTCTGTCCGTCACGGTTTTAGTCTGTCTGATCCTCTGTCTGCAGTACATGTATGTACGCGTGTATACATGTATCTGCATGTCTGTATGTACATCTGCCCAAGTCTCTATGTCGGTCTCGATCAGGAAATACCTGTCGAAGCGGGTTAACAAATATACAGCCATGTACGTCTGCATGTACATGTGTGTGTGCATGGATATTGTGGCTGGATCGAGCAGCACTTGTACATGCACGTCCATTGTGTGGAACCTCAAGCTTTTGCCGAATATGTCTGTCTGTCTGTTGGAAATATGTGTATCCCTGCATTATTCCCCTCTGCGTGTGACTACTCATCCAGGCGACCCCGAATTCACAGAGGAGAGAATCCAGGAGATGCTGAGACATCCCAATATAAGTTTTGAAGCGTGCGACAAATGGGACCCCGACAGGCTGCGCCGGGCGTATGTCAACATTGTTCCCGGCTTTCACGACGACAGCAAAGACGCCCAGATAGCTGTAAGGTGACAGGCTATATTTGTGTTGAACGTTTGAAGCAGTCTTTGTTCATAAAACCGGTCCTGAGTTATTTTATGCCCGTATTCTTCACCCACCAGTGATTGCACACAAGTGAATCACTGTGCTACCTACTTACTACAGCCGGTGTGCTACTGTACAGTGTAACCTGTGTTATGTGACCAGTCCGGCCAGGGTGCACACAATACCGGTCTTTGCAGACAAGTGTCCTCAATGGCAGGTGGTAGAAGTGTTCTCATTGGAAGGTGGTAGAAGTGTCCTCATTGGCAGGTGGTAGAAGTGTCCTCATTGGCAGGTGGTAGAAGTGTCCTCATTGGCAGGTGGTAGAAGTGTCCTCATTGGCAGGTGACCTCTCAACACAGCTATGTACTATTAATATAGGTGTGAAAGGATAGCAAAAATGAAAATAACTTTCGAAATGATAAAACCTGGCTGGAAGTCCACATTTTCTTGCCAGGGAGTAGGCATACATGAATCAGGGATTTTGAAGCAAATAAATAAAAGAGATGCCCAAAGGCGTCAAGAAAAAGTCCCCCATAGTAGAAAGACCTCGGGTGCGTTTGGTTGGTACGATCTAGAACAGGATCGAACAGCTGGTGCACATGGAGCAGCCTCATGCCAACCAAACGCTACTCCAGAAACAGAGCACATTTTTGTGGAAAAATGTGCTAAACTTGGTGCATTCTTCAAAATGTGTATGGATCACCATGGTCACTTTGTACGGTACGACGAGTCCAACCATTATTAACCCAAAAGCGTATGCACGTGATCATTTGGGAACAAAATCGATGTTCCCGCCAGGTTTCACTGTGAAAAAGTGAAACTGCTCGGTCTGCTCCGGCCTCGAGGCCGGAGCAAGCAGAACATGTTCTGGCCGACCCAGAACAGGTGCAGTCCCAACCAAACGCGCTGTTCTGGTGAATCCTGTTCTAGTTCGTACCAAACCAAACGCGCCCCTAGCCTGAAATGGCAAAACATTGCGAGTCAATCATTTGGCTTACTTTACTGGCAAGAAGCAGTGTGGGGTTTCCCCTGTTTTCCTCTCGTCCATGCCTACAGGATGAACAGAAGCGGAGACAAGCAAGTCTGACTGAGGCATGCGAGAGCCCAAATATCGCCGACTCCAACATGATGCTGTCGGAGGCGCAAAGAAGTACTATCTTCCAGCACTTGCTGGTGAACGACAACCACAAAATGATTTACTGTTCCATTCCGAAGATCGGCTGTACCAATTGGAAGAAGGTGCTGAAAGTGCTGTCTGAACGCGATGCCTGGCCAGGCTGCCACAAACTTGAGCATAGGATTGACGGTGTTCAACTTTCCACGTACAGCAAAGAGGAGAGAATCCACCGTCTTAAAACCTATTACAAGTTCATGTTCGTACGCGACCCACTTGACCGCCTGGTCTCAGCTTACTTGGACAAGTTTCATCCGAGTGGCCGGGGTTATGAGAAGGGCTTTCCCAAGCATTATGTCCCTCGCATCGTAAAGAAGTACCGTAAGTCACCACTGTCGGCGGAGCAAAGAAAGAAGGCACGTGGCGATGACGTGAAGTTTACCGAGTTTGCCAATTACGTGGCGGACACAAAGCGACATATGTACAATGAGCACTGGGCACCGTACGAGGACCTGTGCCAGCCGTGCCTAGTCGACTATGACTTTATCGGCCACTACGAGCAGCTGACCGAGGAGTCTAATTATGTCCTGCGGCAGGCGAAAGCCGGCGGCAGAGTCGCGTATCCGGGCCGGCAACAGTACTACCACACCTCGCCGCGCAGTCGCGTGCTCTCCTATTTCCACCAGCTGGATGCAACCATACAGAAAAGAATCCTGGATGTTTATAATACCAGCTACAACATGTTTGCCTTTGAGAGGCCAGAAGTATCCAGTCCAGAAAATACTCCCCATACGCTAGTGGGCCCACTCTTTTAGACCGTACCCCCACATAGCCATATTTTATGTTCAAAAAAAAAAAGGAAAGTTCACACGTCCGCGTTACCACCGGCTATACAGTTGTTGTATTGAGAAACACAACCAGCTTAGGAAGTTTCGCTTGTGCCAGGCCACCACCGTGTCTGTGATACCAGGGTGGCAGATGCAGCTCCTAACGGCGAGGGTGAGGTGGTAAGTCAATGCCCGACAAAGGGGGCTAACCTCGTTAGCTGCATCCAAACTACCCTCACTCTGAGCGGTGAGTACCCAGTTGACCGTGGGTGTCGGCGCAGTTCACGCATGCATCACCGCATTTGCTAGCACAGTGCACGCAACCCTGCTCCCAGCGCGGGTCTCGAACTCGGGACCTTGTGATTCGCAGGCAAGCCCACAACCACTCAGCCAAAGCGCTGGTTTCATGTATACGAAAAATTACACACACTTGAGAGGGACGAAAAGCGTTTCTTCTGTAACTCTGAGTTTCACGGTTTTAACCGATCATCAGACAGCAAAAGTTGCTGTCTGCTGATCGGTTAAAACCGTGAAACTCAGAGTTACAGAAGAAACGCTTTTCGTCCCTCTCAAGTGTGTGTACTAGGCTCTGCACCTTGGTGTATTGAGCACTCTCACGAGCAACCACAACTCCCTCCGAGTATACGAAAAATTATATAATAACCTGAGGCCACTACATTTATAATGCACAATATTGACCATCCTATTCCAAAAGAATAAGCATCTATTCTATTTTGCTTTCGGAGGTTTCTAAGGTGTGCAAGGCATAGGCATAGTGGTGGCCTGCGGAAGCGAAGGCTAGTTTGTGTGTTTCTGAACATTCAAGCGATGCCAACGCGAATCCCGCGAAATTTTTTTTCCGGAGGTTTTAAAATAAAGAAAAGAAACAAAAAAGGAGCAGTTTAATGGCAAAAAAGATATGATAGAACAAAAACACTTCCTCTCCTATTGTTCTAACGTCTCACCGCTGCTAAGAATACAACTTACTTTTTCGAGTTTGTTGCACTTACTGTTTCTCTACTTGACTACATTATATGTGAACGGGCTTGTAGGTAGAAATCAGGGAGTCGTAAAATACCGGTATTTTACGACTCCCTGGTAGAAATGGAGACTTCGGTACGCATTGTACTTTCGAGGTACAGGCTTTCGAAGCGTAGACTGTGTGCTGGAGGGGAATCCCCTAGTTGTGTTGAGTCCTGGGTTCAGTGCAGCACTCACAGCTCTGATTCTGTTCTAGTTGTACAACACTGTGGTGATTGATTTCTGATGAATGCCGCAAGAAAACATTTCAATCCTAACTCGACTGTTACTTTGTGACTGCCGATGAGCGCGTTTACATTCTTCATTTGAAATTTTCTATACTACGGTTTTTAATAGTTTTGTGGCTGACTTGTACCACCCCCAAGAGTGTGCAACTGCCTGCACAACCTCTATGCTGTGCTGCGACGGCAGAACTTCACATCACGTGACATGGCTCAAAAGGTTATGCTGGCAAACAGTGCAAAGTGACCACAAGAGAGTTGTACCCAAAGCTGGGCTGCGTACAACCCTGTATCTATCATGCACAGAGTGCAAATAATGTGTACGGGCTCATCACGTGATGTGAAGTTCTGCCGTCGCAGACCCCATAGCTGGAGTTGCACACTCTTGGGGGTTATGTACTCTTGACTATCTCTTAATTTGCTGGCCGAAAATCCTATATATAGGATTTGAAAATGTGTGCCTTTTATGCCGTTGTTATTGGTCATCACGACCAATAATAACGACATAATGGTTTTCATGGAAGGTATTAATATGTTCGAGGCATGAATGTTTACATTTTAGATTCATAGGGCGATAATATTTCTGATGAATACCCATTTTCAGCAATTGGAAATTTGAGCATAATTGTTCAGCTGCTGTCATGGAAAGGACTGAAGCAGTGAATGTGCAGACGAACATTGCAGGTGTGGCACGGGGTGGTTTCATGACGACATATCGCACATGCCGTCATCAAACTACCAGTTTTAAGGATAAAACAAGGTCCAATAAAATCTCAAATCCTATATATATAGGATTCGAAAAATAGGGCACAGGCCTTAGTAATATTGGGCAAGGAGATGAGCCTGAGATGGTAGTGTTTGAAAAAATTATCTTATTCAACTCTCGATATCTACTAAGGGCATGTTCGTTTGGTAGGATCGGGATCCAGATCCACTGGATTCGCACCCTTTCGATTGCTCGAATCCGGATCCTTCGGATTTGGATCCGGTCAACCCACCTCGGGGAGCAGGGTTGACCGGATCCAAATGTGACCTTTGTGCGTATATGGCGGGTAAAACTCGTTTTTGTACACATTATGGTACGCACACGTGGATCGAGATAGAGCTTGCTGACTTTTTGTACAACTGGCGCTGTGAGTACGACTTTTTATTACTTCGTCCACATGGCAACAGTCAAGGCTCAAAAAAGTGTCCAGTTGACTCTGAAGGATCCGACGGATCTGAGATCTGGATCCCGATCCCGATCCTTACCAATCGAACATACCCTAAGACCTAGCAAGGAAGAATTGGTCACATACTTTTTGCTATTCTCATGCCACACCCATTTTGAGTTGAAAAATATGACCAAAATCCTATATATAGGATTTAGCAAATTAAGAGATAGAGTACATAAACCAGAGTGTGCAACTCGGGATGGTTCCTGTGGGAGCGTAATTCATGCACTACGTCATTTCTGACAGCATGGTAAGCCACAGGTACGGTGAAAAGTTGCGTAACCAGTCGCGGTGGTGCAGGTCACTGAGTTTGTCCTGATTTCGGTTTTTTGATACGGATAGCCTGGTGACTTTACTTGTCGGTGGATGTACGCAGCGTACACAGTCACACAAAACACCGAAATACTGAAACTGGACGTCTAAAATCAAGCAAACTTGGCTGATTTCCGGGCTATGAAACATGAAAATTTGAGCTGTACGCAAGTCGCGGCTTGGCTGACCTCATCAGGGTGACGTAGTGCACCAACTGCGCTGTTTCAGATCTGATATGCAGAGTTGCACACTCTGGTTTATGTACTCTTGACTATACAAATAATGTGTTTCACTTTCATCATTCTTCACTCTGATGGTCTGTTTGATAACAGTGAAACCAGTCAGTCAAAAAATGAAACTTGTGTATGGAATACTCGTGTCGGAGATCTTCTCCATTCCCAAATATCTGAGAGCCCCTATAATTCTAGCAAACCACCTATATACAAATGTTAGCAGGTTCTGGAAGTGATCTGAGAACCTCAAAAAACTGCTTTTAATAAGCACTGGTCGCCTGTACTGGCTGGAGTCAACACGATAGACCACCCAAAAAACAATGGCACGGATCTGTCTCGAACGCGTTTGGGAATGGCGCAGACTGCAAGCCTAGCCCTGGCTGCACCGGCTGGCGTGCACACTCCAAAGGGTTGCTTTCCACTTTGGTGGCAGCAGGTGGCGTTGTACCAGCTGCAAAGCTGGCCGTGGGCATTTGTTGGTGGCAGTATGCGCCGTGCCAGCCAGCGATGCTGCACGGGGTTGAGCCACAGATGGGCAAAGCCAAAGATGGACAATGCAGCATGATCACCATAGACGGAGTGTGGACACACAGCAACCCAATGCACTGACCTGCTGCATGCAGTGAACGACCACGTACGAACGGGTCAACTTGCCGACGGGATGGTGGGCAGGAGTTCACACGGCATGCGCCGCAAGCGTGCGGGCAACTAGCAATCGCTTCCACGTCACAAGTGCTGTCGCGTCAGATTCTCGACTTTGCTCTGAAGCTCGCCGGGCACGAACACACCGTGCTCCGTAATTATACCGGTGATGAGCTCCGCGGGAGTGACGTCAAACGCGGGATTCCAGCAGTCGATGGCGTCCGGAGCAATGGCCACGCCGCGTATCGACTTCAGCTCCTGCGCCGGCCGCTCCTCAATGACGATGTCCTTGCCGGAGGAGAGAGACAGGTCGATGGTGGTGAGCGGCGCCGCAACGTAAAACCTCACGCCGTGATAGCGAGCAGCGACCGCCAGCTGGTAGGTGCCGATCTTGTTGGCCGTGTCGCCGTTGGCTGCCACGCGGTCAGCGCCCACCACGATGCCGGCCACGCTCCTGCTGGTCATGAGCGACGCGACGGCCGAGTCCGGGATCAGGGTGCCCGGCATGCCCTCCACGACGAGCTCGTAAGCAGTCAGTCGTGCACCCTGATATCGGGATAGTGACAGTAATGCAGACAGACAGACAGACAGACAGACAGACAGACAGACAGACAGACAGACAGACAAAATGCAACGGTAGATGGGCGGATTACACAACAGCAGCAAGACTAGACTGATTGATACCGGTATACGCATACAGCAGAGGCGAAAGGAGGCATTGCCACGTCTACACTTCACACATGGTTTTTCCCAATTCAGTGCTCTTGGGGCAAAACCTGGCCGAAATCCTATTCTTGATATGGCTTGCCTTTTGGAGAAATTGACTTCAGAAACATAACTGGAAGAGCATTCCATGGGGAAGGCCAACAAATTGTGAAAACCCCCCAAAATTTGACACATTTACCGCCAAAAGCTAGGATTATGGATATCATCTTTTTTTATGAATGGCCTGTAGTCGCTTATATTTCACTTGACGAGAAATTGTTTGAGTCCTCGAGTCCTAATGATGGTGGGGTAAAGAGTTTAAGTTGTGTACTTGTTCTCGCTGTGATAAGCTTCCTGTCTTCTAGAACGTTGTTCAATAGGTAACCAAATACACTAGTACACTACAGGTGGAATCCTGATAATTTGAAATTCGATTATGGCTTAATTAGAACATACCGTATTTTCCGGTTGTAAGTCGACCTCTTACGACTACAAATAGAAGGAGAAAGGGTGGGGGTCGACTTACAACCGGGAACTATCAGTATCTTACAAAAAAAACGACCGCAACTGCATGCACGAGTGCACCATCTGTACACATTTTTGCCAGTTTATTGGCCTTTTTCAAGGATTGGGACGTTATCCTCCACTAAGGAATGTTTACATGATTTGTTGTTGTGTTAGTAGAAGGGAGTGGTTAGTAGTGCTTCGTTGGGTGAAAGCTTTAAAACGCAGAATTAAGACCTCCGGATACGGGGTCGACCTATAACTGGGGTCGACTTACAACCGGTAAAATACGGTACTGCTCAATTAGAAGTTTCTTCTGGGACCGATTTCTATTTTCTATCAATACAATTTCCACATAAGGCCACCCTAGAATTAATTCGTTGTTTCGGGTCACTTCACTCATCCGTACCAGGGTCGGTCGGGTTTATTTTTTATTTTATTCTGTTTTTTTATTTCGGTTACTGCGGTGTGCATACATGATTATGCATATCCAATGGCTTTTGTCCATCAAGCCAGTCGATCAAATCTGACTGTACATTGTTGTAGACGATCCAGCACGCGCAGTCATTGTCCCATTACTACTGGCATTAGATCCAGGTCCCCTCCAGGACCAGATCTTTGCCACGCTGGCAAACGAGTCTGACGAGCAGCTCTCACCAAAAGTCCAAAACCTTTGTCAATGAGCGATGCGGTAGCGGAGCTGAAGCCATTTCAGGACCGATTGCGGATCAGAGATAATAGAAGACAACCTCGTCACCAAGCGCTGCATCCTGTCATTTGGCTGCTTCTGAGCATGAGGTCGATGTCTAGACTGCTATTATAGGATCGCGTGTGTGTGTGTAGTCGACTGTACTAGTCGTACATTTGCATGCACAATATTAAAGAAACATTTTGCGGTCGGGTGAAAAAAGACGGTCGGTCGGGTGACCCGAAACAACGAATTAATTCTGGGTGGCCTAACAATATTCTGATAATTCGAACCTCGAACTGGGTACATCCAGTTACTCAGTAATTGGAAGTCCCGCGGAATCCACTTACATAGAAAATGTGTGGGATTTGTGCTGATAATTCAAAGTTAGCAAAGCACAATTAGAAGTTCACTTTATGTTCACCTGATCAGTTTGGTTTGCATGCGCAGACAGTTCAGTGTCCACTAAATCTGTGCCTGACGTGCGTAGTGCAACTCTGCGTGTCAACGCGAGCATTTTGACATACATAATGTGTTGTGGGTACATGTTTGGATAATTAGAAGTTTTCCCCTGGAATTTTGGGGTTCGAATTATCAGGATTCCACCCGTATAAATAAAAAAAAATTAAAAAGCAGGAAACAGACTGGACATCTGCAATAGCCAGGTTTCGGAGCACCGCTGGTTGGCAACTAACCCCTCTTACTGCCCTCTCTGCATGACTTACCTGCAGATAGGGTCTAGTTTCCGTGCAGTAGCAACGCTCCAGTCGGCCCTGCTCGTGCAGAGAGCGCACCACTCCCAGTGCAGTGCCGTAGCCGGCACACGCCAGTGACCCGGTGTTGCAGTGCGTGACGACGGCCACTTTCGAATTCCCCGACGCCGCCGCCGCGCCGGCCAGAATGGCGCTTGCACCCCATCGGCCGATAGCCCTGTTGTCCTGGATGTCTTTCTCCAGCATGCCCTCGAGAGCCTCGATGATCGTCTGGATCATGACGCCGACGTCACCATCGCCGCTAGCCTCCAGCCGATCGGTCAGCGAGCGAACGACGTCGGCGGCGCGGAACAGATTGACGGCGGTCGGGCGGGACGTGCAGAGGTAGGTCCACGCGTCGTGCACCAGCGTGCGCACTGCACCGGTTGACGTCAGCGTTGCACGCTGCTCGTGCAGCTGTACGGCAAGGGTTAGCGCCGCCACAATGGCGATGGCCGGAGCACCGCGTACCTAGACACAAACACGAAAAGATTGAAAGTAAATTATTCCCTGTGACATTGTTTCCTTTTTAGGCCATCATTTTTTATAGCTATGTTTCGCGTCGTCCGCACGCATACGTTTTGATTTTTTTCGGAAAAAAATAAAAAAATCGAACATGCACAGTGAGTGTACGATCATGCGAGTCATCAGTGTGGACTGGTTGAATACGGCGAAGCTGGGATTCAGAAATGGCCTCTAGGCCAGCGTTGGTAAATCGTTTGTTCGGCATCTGGGAGCAATATTCTATGAGCTTACACCAGACCGCATTGATCGTCTCAAGCTGAGAGGATGCGTCGTTCCGGAGCTCTTTACACCGCTGCTGAAGTCTAAGTACAATAATCCAGCGAAGCATAGGCACCAATGGTTGCCTCCTCTGTCCAAAATGAATATTTACTCATGCTGATAACCCAGATGTTGTGCTTCGATGTACGATTTTTCTTTCAAATGTACACCATGCACGAGCTATTGTGCTATGTACAGTGCATACACCTCTGATGAGTCTTTTTATTATTTTGCAATTTATTATTTTTTTCCACCTCTCGCATATGATTCTGGAAGTTGAACTGACGCGAAACATAGATATAAAAAATGATGGCCTTATTACGTCATATGTATGCATTCATCTGGCCGGGCGCTGTCTGGCATGCCAGGTGTACTGAACACACTTTATCTGTGCCTGCCTGCTTGGCTTTCCTTCGATCTCTCTGTCGTTCTCTATGTTCACACACACACACACACACACACACACACACACACACACACACACACACACACACACTTGTTAGTTTTTTGTCGTCCCTGAAACGAACATAATTCGTTTGGGGGGGGGGGGGGGAGCCAAAATCGCAAGTCGACCGACACTGTACATGTGACATGTACATGCATGCGAGTTTCGTCGTCCAGCCTAGCAAGCTGTGTTCGTTTCAGAGGGAGGGGAGGGGGTCCGAGTACGAAATGAACGATGTTCGTTTCAGGGACGACAGAAAACTGTTGCGACGACCCCTTAGGGGCCGTCCAGACTTAACAATCTTTTACACGAAGAGAAAAAGCTTCGTATATGGGTGGGTGGGTCAAGGGGAGTTTCATTTTGAAAAATATTGATATGAGAGACATCCAGGCATTCTTGCTGTCAAGTCAATCTATATTTCGTTCAGGGGGGGGGTGTGTGGGTGGGTGGGGGAGGGTCCTAACTAAACTTTTTCGTTTCGTGAAAATTATCAATAATGCCGGATAGCCCCTTAGTTGTTGTAAACAAAGCTCGTCACAAGATGTTTTCGGTGCGTTTGTAGAACCACTATAACACATACTCACATATGCACATGCACACTCAAATATACGTGCCGCTACAAGAGCACACGGTTTATTCCCTAGTCGACTACATTAACCATGTGTACGGGAAGATAATGGTCATAAGCTTGCGGGGTTGAAGAGGGAACAAAGCCTGAAGAAAAAAAATTGACTGTCCCAGCCGGACTCGAACCAGGGACCTTCAACAGAATCTGAATATTCGTATCAGGTAATCCCAAAGAGTGGTGCTACAAATTACTCGCGATGTTCCATATCAGGGGTGTCGGAAGGTATTTTAGTGTGGTACGGTCAGCCATCTGAAGTACAATTTACTCGTGGGGGGAGGGATGGCTGAGCCGAAAATTTTGGAAATTTAGAGCCCAAATCAGTGTATTTTATTGATTCACGGGGTGCTTGGGGCAAATAGTGGTACGGTCAATACCGTAGTGACCGTACCGTGTGCGACGCCCCTGCATATTATTTGGGCACCCAAGTAGGGATGTCAGCGAACGCACTGCGCAGGCCTCTGCGCATGCATTGCGTCATCGATTTTTTGAACGTGATCGCGGCCGACAGAGAAAACATGGCCGCGGTCTGTTTGCACCGCTGGGAGTCGTAAAATTACTGTTCTTCTGTCCCCGCGACCATTCAAATCATACGCGATACTCGAGGACCCACGAACTCACCACGTTCTCCCCGGTCGATTTCTCTGAAAGTTTGCACATCGTGAAACACCAGTATGAGAGGTGTTCAGGCCAATTTTCAAGGAATTTCCCTGGTTGGATCGTTCCAAAATCGGACTTCCATTTCTCACTCGCGGCCATTTCTTGCGCGATGGAAGCGCCCTGCCCTGGTGAGTAACCAGGATCGCGCTTGGTAGAGAGTTGCTGCAATCAGCTCCCTGATGTCTTCGCTGCCATTGTCAGAAGCGATGGACCATGAATTTGTTTGAGAGTCTCTGGATGCTACTATTCCTCAGCCTAGTTTTCAGCCATTCCGTGCATCTTCTTCGCATGATTTATTTTGCAAAAAAATGAAAGTGCTCATGAGTTTTCTTGTCGGCCGCGCGTAGATGGGCCAGGCTGACCTGCACAGATGGGCTGCGCAGTGCGTTCGCTGATATCCCTAACCCAAGCACTCGGAGTGTGGAGTTGTACTGTCTGTAAGCGAATTGGGGGCGAATCTGCACCCACGCCGTCACAGTTGAAAAGTGCTTGTCCCACTTGATGCGAGGTGACCAGCAAGGCGCTTCTGGTAGCTTGCATACTCCCGATGCAGCACGGCGTCCATTTGATACACCAGTTGTGTGAAAGACCCACGGAGGTCCTCGGAGGCTTGACGGCATTTCTCCTTCTCTGCGTTGGCAGCGCGGCTGTACTGTCTACTGTAGTGCTTGCAGTCTAGTTGTGTTCAAGTAGGTTTCACTACTTGGCCAGTGAAAACTGTGCATGCATACAACAGGCCAAAGATTTGGGACAATAATCGTTAGCTTAAAGTTTAGGTCGCGAATAATCAGGGACACTAATCTTTAGGATTATCACCATGCAACGGCCCTATGCTACATTTAGTGCTGTACACTTTACCTTCATCTGCCGAATAGCTTGCCATCCGTCTTCGAGATTCTTTACGATTTCCCATTCCTCTTGGTGAGGCAGCAGCAGTTGGTTCAAAACCTCCAACCGTCCACGTTCATACTTCAGGGGAACAAGTGTTTGCGCCATATCAAGCCTGCAGAAGCTACTAGTACTACCACCTTTTTAGACAAGAACACGAAGTTCTAAGTAACTAACTTTACTGACCAGAGACTGATCGAAATACATGTACATGTATACATGTATACATGCAAACAAGCTAAAAAAAGCTATTTTTTGTTTTGTCTTTTCCTCAGCTAGCTAGCTGCAATCAATGTCAATGATTATGTCATGTACTGCTGCACGTGACCTCCGCCTTGGAATCGTCATTCTTTTCTTTTTAGTGATTGTGCAAGCAGTTTTGCATTCTTATTCCAGAGATAGAGACAGTGAGCCCTGGCCATGCAAGGAATCCCAGTTTTGGCAAGAATAGTCTGTGGGATTTTTATTTCCCCTATGCCTTTGATTCCGATCCCGCTTTGTTGATAGTCTTCCCAGCCTCCCCAATGTTGGTTTTCTGACACCAATGAAGACTGTACTGTGAAGTTTGAATTTGTCACAGTTTTCTGATATTTTCACCAAACACAATAATTATTAGATAATGGTTCTCGCTTTTCCAGCGGGAAAATTGGCCTATTTGGCCATAAAGCAGGTTTCTAAGCCAGTAGCGAAAGCAGTAGCGAGTGGAGCAAAACGCAGTGACTTCTTCAAGAACTATGTTTGCATCCCACCCGCACGCAGTAAGTTTGTGACCATAAAAATATTCTTTTTTTTTATAATGGGTGTGTATATGAATGAACGCAGTATGGTCATATGTAGGTCATGGGTAGATGAACTTTTCCTGATGAAATTACATAGTACTGTAACAATGTAGTACTGTAAATAGCGCCGGTCAAAAAGGAGACACTTGCATGGTCCCGAGCATTCACATCAAAGATACTGTAGAATCCCGCGGATAAGCCCACCTGTGTATAAGCCCATGCTCGCGCGTACGGTACGCCCAGGCCAAGTTTAATCAGCGCGAAGCTTCGTAGTACAAGCCCATGGGTAGGGAGTTCAGTCGAAAAACCAAATTCGTGAGTTTCGAAACGCTAGCTTTTCTAAACCGGGAAGATGTGAGAAACAACCTGTGAAAATTTGAACCCAAAATTCCAAGGCAAGTCGATTGAAGATCGGAAAATGGGGTGAAAATAGTCACAGAAGTAAATGCCAGTATGTATGTGAGCCGTGTGGTTTCCGTCCAGCACTGCACTATCTGGTGCATGCATATCGGTACAGGATGTGTGCATGCATGCAGTGTGCACGCATGCCGTGCGCGCCTACTTGCACAAGTCACACATTTTCACCGTCACTGCTTCTACAGTTCACTCGATTTTTTTTCGTCAACCAGGAAATCGCCGTGGGCTAGTTTCTTTGATCATTTTCCTTCTACCGCGATAAAGCGCGAGCCTAAATGTTCTAGAATCCTCTTGTTTTAGACTAATCCGAGGCACACAAAACTCGGGTGTTCCTCGCGGGGCCGAGTACGGATCTGGTCGAAATCAGTACTTCGAAGTGCATCCACGCAAAGCGCGGAGGCATTATTTTTGGAAGCATGGCATGTGTGGCACCATTGGAATGGTAGTGACCTCAGCTACCTAAAATAGCATCGACAAGGCCGCGGGGGAAGATACATGGGCCTCGAACTGCATCCCAAACTGCTGCCGCGAGGCGCCCATTCACTTTGTACAGGCGGGTTGTGACTGCATTTTTCCCTTTTCAGCAACCGGAACTGAACTCCCTACCATGGGCCTAGGTCGTACCAAGAGTTCACAAATTATGGACTCTTGGTCATACCATGTACAGTACATGTTGTTTTTTTGTACATTTCAACACAATTATCGGTTGTTTCTGTTTGCACAGTGGCTTTCAGCAATATGCTTCTCACTTCCTTGGTACTTTTCAATAGCACAATTTTGGTGTCAGCGTATAAGCCCATACCCGCGTATAAGCCCATGTTCTTGTGTAAGCCCACCGAAATGTCCTTGTGAAACAGATAAGCCCATGGGCTTATCTGCGGGATTCTAAGGTACTGAATACTCTTTATCCAGGGATGAATTTACTGTCAGGTTTTTGCATAGCAGTTTTTGCTATGCAAAATCTCAATTGTGGCGTAAGCTACAAAAAAGCATGGATAGCATGTACATGTATGTGTCACAGTTTTCTGCATGTCACTGTGATTTTTTGAGTAGCAGTAGGTCGATTTTGAGTAGCAAACTGCGATGCGATACCGGATAGATTCATCCCTGCTTTCTCACTGTGCATCACAGAACACATCAAACAATCACATGCACTATCAGTGCCTACAAAGCGTCTCATGCATGTATATACTATGCTGTTGGTTGGCAGCATGTGACAAGGTGGAGCTGTCAACCAACAACATATTTGAACAAAACAGGATCGAATGTGGCGTTGTCCACCATGTACCACAGGTTCAGGATACGTCTGATAATACGAGTTCCGTGCACATTACATCATAAAAATGACATCAACTTGAAAGTCTGTCGGGACAGCACCCGTAGTCGAGTTGCACACTCTTGGGGCGTTATGTACAGTCAGTCAAACCTCGCTTATCCGGATCCCTCGCCATCCGGAAGAAAATCGTTGGTTACCGATTTACAGCATTTGTCATGCATACATACAGTATATGTGTTCGATTATCTGGTTCCCTCGCCTAATCCGGACATTTTTGTGGAAAACAGATGTGTGCGGTTAAGCGAGGTCTGATTATGCTCTTACTACCAGCTATGCGCCATGTCTCTTTGCAAGCGGTGTACTACTCGTATCTTTGTGCGTGTGCAAGCTTTCGCCCGCCTGGTCACTCACGCTGATCATAAAGATGTCTGTTGGGTGCAATGGCATCTTTCCCTCAAACCAATGAGTATATTTGATTCTGCTATTCCTCTTCACACATGCAGTCTACAACTGGTCGCAGACGCAGATCAAGATGCGCTTTCTGGGCTCGACGGGGAAAGTGAAGGTGCGGGAACTCAGCGAGGACGTGGCTGTCGAACTCGGTGCTCAACTTATCGGCGAGACGACGATCTTCGCCGTTGCCGCTGGCACTCTCATATTCGAGTACACGCGGAATGTGAACGCAAGCGAGCGCAAGGAAGCCGCCAAGGCAGCCGAGATGCAGCAGCTGCATGACCAGATCGGTGAGATGGGTCTGCAGCTGGAGCAGCAGAGTGCGGAGCTGCGAGAGTTACGCCGCTATCAGGGCACACTGCACACCGCACTAGGAAAGAAAGGCGTCAAGGATTTGCCCAGCCTTGACGAGCAAACTAGACTTTGAGACTGTGCTGGGCACATGCTCCCATTTTAGAAACTGTTTTAGGAGCCCGTTTGGGCTTTTCCAGTCTTCGGTCCAACTGGAAAGTCTCATCACACATTACTTCTTGTTTGGCTGGTCCAATTCAAAACAAATTCAGCCTTTTATACAATGTGCGTCAACAGATTTCCCTTGCAAGTACATAGTAGTTATAACTTATAATTCAGGAGCTGATTCGCAGAATTCTGTGAGCCGGTGGTTATAGATTGCGCCGATTCTGCTGTATCTCAAATTTGCAACATGACATACACGCAACTACTGATGTCGCTGACGGGTAGAATGATATTATGCAGTACGATACCACACACTTGTCGTCCGGCTAGCCGGCTGAGTAAACTAAAAACTAATTCTGAATGAAAGGTTTTGTACAATGGCAGGTGGTGCATACTCGTTCTTGAATTTGGATGACCTCCAATGGTTTGGAGAGAAACGTCTATATTGCGCACAAGAAAGAGGCGACTTTTGTAGCCAGAGTACTTTTTTTGTGGTGTTGCTACAGCCTACAGGCGATAAGCCTGACACTTCCCAGCCCAAATGGCATGTTGCCATATTTTGCATTTTCGCAAGCCTTACGCATGCTTTCATTGGAGACATGCCTTTATCGGAGACTGCTTTTACCGACGTATACCGGTAATTTCAAGCCCACTTTGCCATGCATGTTCCTGTTCGAAACTCTCTGAAAAGTTCGAGTGCTGTTTCATGTCCTCTCTGAATTTTAGGAGGCTCTCCAAGCTTCAGATGTGGTTGAAACTAGGAGATTCCCACGGTATGGGATCAACTTCTACGAGAATCTAAAATTCTAAACTCTCCCTCCAGGAATCCGCGGCCGCGGTAAAATTCGCGGAATTCATGTTTTTTTATCCCGCGGAATTCACAGTTTTCACCGCAGAATCGTGAAAAATCACGGTTTGGGGGGCAATGCGAGCATGCGCTTCATATTCATGCACATGAACAGTGCAGTGTCCTGTCGCTATTTTTGTTGCATTCAAAGTCGAGGGAGTTGTCTTCGTTACTGTATTAAGCCTATCGTGTGTTTTCGACCGCTAATTTTTTTATTGATACTTGTACATAGCATATAGCCATGTCTTTTCGCTGGTGCAGCGCAGAATTCACGCTATCCGCCTCATAATGTAGCGATTTGTGCCGCAGAATTTCAACTTTCTGTCCGCGGATTCCTGGAGGGACAGTCTAAAGAATATAATATAATAACAGAACACCTTTAGACGTGTTTCGTTGGATAAAATGCAGTGACTACCGTCATGTACATACTCAATGACCCAGTCTCAATCTGCACTTCCTGGCTGCAAAGGCTTACAGTAGAGCCTGTGCCCCGTGAATTCCGCGGCAGAATATCAAAAATTCCGCGCAGAAAACAGTAAATGCTGTGCTAATTCTGCAAGGGAAATGAGTATAAAACCAGATTAAATTTCCGCAACCCAATGCTTTACCTCCCAAATTATAGAGTGTTCAGGCTCAGCTCAAGGAGGGATCCAAACCATCTTCAGCAACCTACAACAGGTCGATCACCTGGTACTTTTGGACACCACCTGGTCACTTGCAGATCAGAGAAATGCCAAACCAGCTACGTGCTCATGCACCAAACAATGGGAAGCCCAGAGGGGCAAGTCCCAGTTATGGCATGGGACAGATGTAGCAAGATTTGTGTTTATACAGTAGAGTCACACGAAGAACACGGGAAAAACTGCAATGCAGCCGACATGGTCTGATGATGAAATCCCTTGCATTGAAGCTTACAATATTCCCCACGCAAGATTTTAGAACCACCTTCCATTCTTTAGAGGGAAATCATTCGGGGCTGACCTTTTGATCTTCGTAGGGTGACTCTATTGTAGTACAAACAAGCTAAGACACATCAACTGGACTACAGCAGAGAACAGAGTATCTTTTCAGCCATTTATTTCCCAAATCTGTGAACAAGAGGCTACACCAGGTGGGCGGTTAAAGTAAAAAACGTGTGAGCACACAGCGTCAATCTCTATGGTCTGATGATGTCCCTTGCATTGAAGCTTACAATATTCCCCACGCAAGATTTTAGAACCACCTTCCATTCTTTAGAGGGAAATCATTCGGGGCTGACCTTTTGATCTTCGTAGGGTGACTCTACTGTAGTACAAACAAGCTAAGACACATCAACTGGACTACAGCAGAGAACAGAGTATCTTTTCAGCCATTTATTTCCCAAATCTGTGAACAAGAGGCTACACCAGGTGGGCGGTTAAAGTAAAAAACGTGTGAGCACACAGCGTCAATCTCTAAGCGGTAGTGGCAGCAGGTGCACCGAAGCTGCCAGCTGGTGCGCCGCCGAAGCTGCCAGTTGCAGCGGGGGCGCCTGTTGCGGCACCAGGTCCCGAGCGCTGCTGTTGCTGGTCACGGGGAGGACGCGGAGCATCATCACGCTGCAAAACAAACGAAGAAAAGGACATACACAAGCACAGTCATGATCGAGACGACAAGTGACACACAAAATGCCAATAGCCACGCACTATGGACAAGTGTACAATAATATAGCATACCAAGCCTTGCAATGGTAGTTAGCTATAAACTTCTCCACAAAAGGAAATGTTGCACGATAGTTTAATGGGTATCCAGGCACGTGGATGCCTCCACTTAAGTGATCTGTGACGGTATTGACTCATTCAAGCCACTCGCATGTGGAACGCAGCCCTATGTCTCCGCCACTGACATAACACATTACAAACCGGCTGAACACCCATCGCAAGCAGGGTCTGATTCATACATAAGACCTCAGTAGCAGCAACCACAGTACACTAATTGCATAATGGAATAAAGAGCCTACCTTAGGACGGAAGTTGGGTGGAGGTGTGCGGTCACGACGAGCCTCACGAGAGCGGTTACGCACGACCTTGCTGTGGATGGCGCAGCTCACACAGTAGTGGAGTTTGGCATACAGCTTGGGCAGGGCAAACTGGCCTACACACAAGGACCAACAAAGACGGAACATACGGACATACAAACAGAAAAGAGGATTAATACAGTGCTCGCCTGGAGCAAATTGTAAGCATGGTGTTGCATTTGTGTTTCAAAACTACATCGGAACGATACGGGAAATGCTACATGGTGACTGTGCACTTGACTACATCAGCATGTCTGGATTCTCGAGGCCAAACAATCAACGGCTATCCGTTGATGCAAAAGGCCAAAATATGAAATGGACTGGGCACATTCCACAGGGATCAAATTCAGCATAGACCGCCACAGATACTCCACTCCGCTTTCGATGAATGTGGCAGTGGCCACTAGATGGATGCACTGACATCCATTCTGCAACCAGAATTCGCGATTTTATCAATCGCATAATTTTTCGCAATTATTCAATTTAACCTCCAGAACATCTCCATTCTCCGCCAGAAGGCTCCAGATCAATGCGCCCACTGCTGTGGCCATCAAGGCAAATACTACTTAGGAACAAGCAATGTGACAGTCCTGACTGACTGAACTTCCATCGAGCTGTCTGCAGAGATCCACGATCTAAGAGCTAGCTAGAAAGACATAACACAGTAATATCAAATTCTCCAGACACAGCGCTGATACTCCACACATACACATACACATCAAGCAAAATATTTCGCTCATCCTTACCCTTCTCTTGGGCATACACGCTGGCCTCAGTTATGTCACGAACAGCTGCGGACTCCACAATGTTCCTGATCACAAACTTTTTGATAGATTTGTCCTTTGGGACGCATCTGGCGCAGTTTGTGCAGCGAACTGCACGAACATGGCCACGGCCGTGCTTGTTTCGTCCGTTGTTCCGTCTCTTTTGCGTCTGCAGAATGGCAAAAGGCCAGAGTCAGCGACAGCACATGGCAAACAAAAAAAACAAGGCCACTCACCATGGTGGATCGGGAAAGAAGGGAAGAGGAAAGACTGTGCGCATGCGTTTCAACCCTCAAGCCCAGGCCACGTAAACTTTTCGTAAAATTTTTCGATTTTGGTGACGTTTTTCGATGAAAAGTAGTGTTTTCGCAAAGAAATAGCACTCATGCCAGCTTTCTTTTTTCCCTCACGCGCTTTCCCCACGTCAAATGACTCGCTTTTCGCTTTTTCGGCATTTTCTTGAGACGTGATTGTGCATCATGATTTTTGTAGGTCTGCAAAGACGAAGTGAATTTTACTTTTTTCACATGAGATCGAGAAGACAACACGGCATGCTCTTCAATCCGGTGGTAATCAGGAAATAGGTTGGATAAAATTGATACTGGAGCTGAATGGAGAAGCTGGCCGTCAATCTGAAATGACTATAAAGTGCAAGGAAATTAATGATATCCTACAATTGGTTTCCTTCGGATGTTGAGTTTTGATGGTGATGTCCTTGAGACCTTCTTCATGCATACCGGTATGTGAATCTTCCCGTGGACATTACATGGGACATCGTGATGAAGGGACCTTGCCAGTACATGTACTTGGTTACCGTGGGATCCAGTCGTAGCTGTCCATACGGAATAGCTGAAGTCAGCAGTCACATTGCACACGACGGTGTAACAGTATTATAATAATTATACAATGTCTGAGACTGGCTAGTTGTGAGTGGAGAATCCTGCATTCCTGGTCATGAAGTACATGTATTTGTGAAGACAGATTTACTAGCACAGTTACATGAGCACGTCGACTCTTCCCAGCACCACAGTCTTGACTCCAGAGTCCGCATCTACAATGTATCTCGCTAATGGCGAGTCGGGTTTGGCCAAAGATACCAGACCCCGCCCCAGTACATGTATAGAGCACGGCACCATCACGGGCTGAAAACTAGACCTCTTTTCTTCTTGTGACTTTGTACCACCATCCCCGATTACGGGGAGTAAGAAATCTGGAGTGCCACTACGCTAACGGTCCCAGCGTTACGATGCAGCATTTTTCATTTCTGAAACCACAGCAATTACTGCAACGTACATAACCTTACCCTAGGATAGAGTGTGGTGGTTAGGAATTACGGAATTACTCACAGCTGGATGATGTAGATCAGGATTATTTAACTAAGCACTACCCAATGGTAATTGTCGATGGGAGGTTTACAGTCTGGGAGCTATAACTCAAAATCGCCCCTGGGACTCTAAGTGCTGCATGTATGTCGACCAACATCCGATGCATAAAACGCACGTATGGCGACATTCAACTACGAACTGCATCATGTGCTATAATCGATCCTCGCACTGGTGGGAAGTTCCTACATCGTAGTAGTTCGGAGTGAAGGACAAACTAAGAAATGTTTGGTCAAACTTCAGGCCTGCTTCTCAATGTGTATTTCTGACTATTTCAGGTTTGAGCCGCCGATAATGCCTTCATAGGTACTGGTGCCTAATAAGTTAATTTGATCTGATATTTGTTGAAGTGGAATGTTGAGTTTTGATTGATGGCCAAAAGAGTCACTGTTGAAGTCTGATGTGTGTCTTATGCTCCGAATGTCAACGAAAACACGAATTTTGGGCCTGAAAGGGGTTGCAGCATAGACCCCGGTGCACCGGTGCGGCGAATACCCCAGGAAACACGGTATTGTCTCTCTGCACTGGTACTGGAGTGATTGGAGCTTATCAGTCACGGTGTTAGGCCACGGCCAATGTATTCGCCGTCTCTCGTCACTTACACAAAAAGGAATAACGACAGGCGGGAAATACATGTTAACAAGTTGCATAAAGAAAACATCCGCCCTGCCCGTCAGAACTGGATGAGGAATGTTGAAAAGCAACATGGAAAACAATGAATGAGCACTGCTGTGTACAGCCAAAAGGGATGCTCTGTGACCACCGGCAGCGCATCTGCTCGCCTCGGGATCTTGTTCAACTTCTTACTTGTATAAAGTAAGACCGTCGGATTGTACCAAGCCTATACATATTGTAAGCTAAGTTTGCAGTTGTAGCTCTCCATTATTGCAATAAGCTGTATACATATTGTAAGCTAAGTTTGCAGTTGTAGCTCTCCATTATTGCAATAAGGCCATGATATGATTACAATGTTGATAATGTCAAGGGCTGTTTACAGACCAGGTTCTGTGAGTTCAGAATTGGTATCGTACCGGTAGTAGAACGAAAGGTGGCACCCTTAACAGTGCGGTACACTCGCGACGTTCTAGTTTTGCTGTCATCTGGGTAACTTTCATTATGTGCTTCACCAGGTACATGCATCCATGGCCATATGCACGTCTGTAGGGCTTACACTATCAGGGGCGCCGGGCGTCGGACACGGTACGGTCACTACGGTATTGACCGTACCACTTTTTTTGCCCCCGCCAGGTACCCTGTGAATCAATAAAATACACTGATCTGGGATCTAAATTTCCAAAAAATTCTCGGCTCAGCCACCACTCCCCCACGAGTAAATTGTACTTCAGATGGCTGACCATACCACACTAAAATACCTTCTGACGCCCCTGGGTCTATAGTCTACAGCACTCGATGCAAATACACGTATCCATGAATGCCCCAAGTACGTGTCCAGTCATGTACAAGGAACAACCAGAGTACTTGCTATATTACCTACATACAGTGCATTTCAAAACTATAGACGCGTAGGGTTTTTGAAATATTTCAAATTTGGCTGGACCTTTTTGAGAATAGTTTTCGGAATATTGCTCAGGATCGCTCCACAATTACTCTCATATAGTTTCTAAAGGATTGGATAACAGACGCACAATTTGGAAAAATTTATGCACAAAGTGATCACAGATTTTATGTGGTATAGATGCTGGCATAACGGTTTTTGCCTAGGTACGCGTCTATAGTTTTGAAATGGACTGTAGTAAGTATTATACAGCTTACCTACAAGTAACGTTACCTACTGCCAAGCTCCTCATTTCCAGACCAAGAGGCGCCCACCCCCACAGAACACTGACTGTGCCACGCTCGGTCCAAGTATGTGTGTGTGTGTATGTATGTGCGTGATTTAAGCCACCCAAACTATAATATTAGTAGCAAGTATACCCCAAGTACATGTATGTACAAGGAACAACAAAACCTTCACTGGGGTCAGGGGTAAAATACTAAATGCAGTTGGATCTCGAGACGGACACCCTGATGCCATCAATCCTCTTTCTGCACCTTGTCCTCAACCACCTACTGAGGTGCGGTGAGCCCACAAGTGGGATCATTTCCAAGTCCACCCAGAGTTTGGTGATTTCAGGGGGTGTCGGCCACTGGGCAGTTCAATATCAAATTGAGTCATCTTCAAGTTCCAAGATTGAATCTCTCCCCCTCTCCCGGGGAGACCCACGTGACTAGTTTTGGCAGTGAGCAACTGTGTGTGTGTGCGTGGCCATAGCAAGCAAGCAAGCACGATGCCGACACTGTACAACATAATCCACCAAGAGCTCGACAGGGGCACACCACCCTGTACGGTGACGAGGGCTTTTCACAAAATAAGGGTGAGCTAGACGGAAGGCAGACAATGGCAAACAAAACGGATAAAAGCCTAGGATGAAGAACGGAGTAAGTGGGGACAAAGCAGTTTGTTGCAGAAGAGAAAAGCAGGCACGCGGAGGCTAGGCAAGGCGGCCAAGCCAACATAGTCGCGATAGACAGAGGACACTCGAGCACAAGCATGAACACAGTGCACGACCAACTGCGCACTCTCTACACGCAGTCCTGGAGCGGTCTGGGAAAAAAATTAGCTTAGCAACCCATCACCACACACAATTCAGGAATCAATAAAAGAAGCAGTAATTCCCTAAATCAGTTGCACACTGTGATAGTGTGGAGTGATGTGATGCGCTCACTCTACTCAATAAAAAGAGAGGGGTCTGTCAAGAAAGTCACCACAGATGCGTAACTCAAATCAACCTATGTTTCAATATCCGTAAAAAAAAGAAGGTGAAGTGGGAAAATGGAGAGGGTTGCGGAGAAGCACCGCTGTTCCGCGAAATATAAAAAAGAGGCAGATGATCCGCAACCTTAGTACGCCCACTCGCGCTCGCACACACACGTGCACACACCTGTGCACACATGCACGTCCACATATACACACACACACGCACACACACACACACACACACACACACACACACACACACACACACACACACACACACACACACACACCTGTCACCATGTGGAGTAGGAGAAGGGTAAGCAGCCACCCATGACTCCATCAGGCACGATGTCCCACCAGCACAACTGGAGTTGTGCAGGCATCAATGTTACTAGGAACTCTCAGGATCCGGCGAGAGACCAATACTGTGTGGCTGCAACGAACTACACACGAGTGCTCTGCTGGAGCTGTACGTTCCAGGTCAAAGAAGCACCAGCACACACTTAAATACACACGGAACAGAATCGTGTCCCTGAGCAGTGGACAACAGATATTGCGGAGAATGTTTCAGTAGAGACCGGTGGCTACCTGCAATTGGCAGTGTGTTTCGTGAGGAAGCGGACGGTCACGGATACTGAGCCACTATACGATGGCTGTTCCGCTGCAGTCCCATTGGTGAACCCCATGGTCCGGGTCTGCAGTACTGGGATAGGAATTAGAGCGTGAAAGCCGACATGCCATGCAGGGCAGCCGCACATTGGGGATGTGTGCTGTAGGCCAAAGCACGCCGCAACACTACTACTAGTGGTCAAGTCTCACTCTCATTGCTACTGGATGCGCCTTCCTGCTCCATGTCGAAACTATCCTGCTTGGACTGTATCAGCTTCTCGATACGCAGCCGCTTCATCTCGTAGTTCTTCTTGATGATGCTGACGTACTTTTCCTCCTCGATGTTGAGCATTTTCAGAAAGTTTCCCAGCTCCGTGTAGGTGAACCGGTCCCAGTGTATCAGCGTGTCCATACGCTTGCGCCCACTGCTGACGAGCTGTAGCGAGAGCGAGTGCATCGGACAGGGGCCCCACAGCAGCACCAGCAGCAGCGGTTCCTCCTTGCTGTCCATGCGCCGGCCACCCGGCCCACCTCGCCGGCCCTCGCACTCAAACAGTCCGAAGTTGGAGATGTTGTCGACGACACGGTACTTCTCCATCAGGCCCTCGATGATGCTCTTGGCAGTCGTGTGGCAGTCAATCACCATCTTAGTGGTCATATCATTGAGGTAGATCACAGACTTCTCCGCGCCCTTAGCGCCCCCACTGTAGCCAGGCGTAAGATTGCCGCGGTTTCCCGCCGAACTATGATTCGTCGACTGGTGTATAGATATCGGGTGCACCAGGTTCAAGTGGATTTCCACAAAGCCGGTGAAGCCCGTCTTGTCATCCTTCATCGACATTGGCAAATTGCCTCGCGCCGCATTGAACGCGTTGACCATCTTGACAACATCAAACAAGTGCACTTCCGACACGTCTCCAGTGGCCGAATCTCCCACCACCGGCGACTTGGATTTCTGGCTCGGCTTGAATTTCTCCTGGGCCTCGACTGGTGGGATCCCACAGAAGTATACGGTTAACTTTGCGGAGTCTTTTCTCTTCAGGGGTCCACGTGTCTTGTCCAGGACAAGGCCATAACGGATCCCATCACTCCGACTGCCCGATTGTCCTACATTCAGTACGCCTTTCTCCACTGGCCCATCTGAAGATGCCTGTTTACTGGGATGGCGAATGGGAGCTAGGGTCGTTGCAGGTGATGTAGCGCCATCGAAACTAACCAGTGCCGAGGTGTTCGTGAGACGCACAGCCCTGGTCCGTTTAAAGTTCACACTGATGGAAGAATCAGACTGGGAACCTGTTGCATGAGCTGGAGTGTCCGAGGGCACATTGCCCATCGTAAATACATGTACCTCAGCCTGAAGACCTCATCCACAAGAGCAGAAGCCAGGACAAGGGGCTGAAGACAGAGCAGCCAAGGTCGTGACAATCCCACAGATGCGACGATCAACTGCTATTTCAGCACTCCTGGGGAAGGTCAAATCTTCAGCCACCAGCACTAGACTCTGAAATTACTTCGGAAAATGACAAACTTCGAATGTCACATTTGAACAAACAAAATACAATGTACTACACAAATGAATCGGCTCTCGCGGATGGGAATAATTCTGGTTCTCGATCGAACGAGTGAATTATGAGTTGACGATCAGTCTTGCTGGAAACCAGAGGAGCTCATCTCCAGAATTCCTTGATCGAGAAGCGACGGAAGCCATAACTGGAAATCTACAGCACAATTTCTGCACTCTAGCTGTGAAGGCTGTCACAGAAGCCAAAACCGTCACCACGAAGTTTGTCAACTAACTGGAAAGCATGCAGCAGTGCATATGCAGAGACCTGGTGACAGAAGTGATGGCCTGATATGGACTGATCTTCAAAAAAGAGAGCTCACACACCTGCTCGCCTCCGCGGCGCAGGTCATTTCCCTGCTGGCGTTCTTGGTTTGGTTCACATAGTCATTGATGTGTCCCACTTTCATTTTCAAATCTGCAAGCTGAGCAAAGAGATCACTTTTAGTTTTGCCAATCTCTGCGATCGCTTCACAAAAGAAAGTGAGACCGAGTGAGTGGAGGTGGCGTGGGGGCGATTTCAACTCCCTGGTATCAAGAGTAGATCCTGCATTATCGTGACTTGTAAAATCTACTCTTACTGGTAGATCTACATACTCCCGACTGTAACCCTCAACTAATTACTTCTCAAGTGAACTGTCCGTTCGAGTATGGGCCCCACACCACGAACATCGAGACCAGGGCCAGGCCCAGCCGGGGGCTAGCCCGCTACAGCTCTGCGTGTAGATCTACCCTTGTTGTAGGCCCTGTGCATGCACAGGATCTAGGAGTAGGAGTCTTTACTTGCTTCCCTTGTGACCAGCGTAGAGCCGTGTTTGTGATTATGAGCGTAGTACAAACTCCGTGTCTTGCTGAAACCAGGCGCACAGATCCTGACGACCTGAACGCACGCGCAATTGCAAGCACCTGCCATCTGAAAGGCCGGAAGGCTTCCCGATCCGCAACGGATGCTCTCCTCTCGCGTAGCTGTAAAAGTGGTAAGTGATGAAATGGTGCGGATGATACAACGATAGTACGTTGTTGCTCTGTTTGAATTCATTTTTTTGTGGTTGTGCCATAAGACAGTATACTGTTATGATACGTAGTGCACTATAATCATGGCTTCACACCAGGGAGTCGTCAGATACATATTTGGCGACGCCGCAAAAATGAATTTGCGGTATCAGTACCACAATCCAGCCAAGGCCAAGGCCGGCTTTCATCATCACGCGGTATCCTTCCTTTCTTCGTGCGTTCAGTAAGTACAGGATAAAGATGGGAAGCACTCTATGATGCAATGTACTGCCGTGGACATGGACATCCAGTCGGCGGTTAAGCGGCCATGCAGCCGTAAGTACGCATGCGATCAACATGTGCACGGTGCATGCAACGTTCTGTACGCACTGAGCACGAGGGCACCGGCTCCAGTCATTCGGCCGGATTTCCATGTCCACGACAGACTGGTCAGTAGTAGTACCAGCCAGGGTGGGGCTGTTGTCGGTTGGTTACCTCATGTCCACAACTTCGACTTCCCAGGCCAGGGTGGGTCTAAAGTAAAGAGCTCCCAGGCCCCTGTTTCTGTGCGAGATTGTGACATCGAAATTCAAGGACTGGAGTCGCACAAAAAAAGAAGCTTCCTTGTTTCCTAGTGTGCATTTCACACCTGGTTGAGTTTTGTCCTTTCTCACAGCGATTATGAATACAGAGAAATAGTCATTGTATGAAGTACAGGCACCCTGAGTATAACTTACTTACTTTTCTCTGCATTGGATAGGAATACATGTACTTCTTTGAGGACCCGGCGCGTCGCCCAGGGGGGGGGGGGACGGGGGCATATGTACCCCCCCCCCCCCGAATCTTTTGACCTTCGTTCGGCATGTGCAAGTATCCCCAAGGATTGCAGTTCAGTGCGTCCTGTGAAGCCAGAATTGAGTGCCAGTGCGCAAAGTCCACTCGCAATTAATGCTATAGAATAATGATGATTTACGAATTTAATGTACAAATGTGCAATATACTGGTACGCTGCAATTTCAATTACAAACCTACTGCTTGAACTGCTTCAAGAATAATTTTGACCGTGCATACTGCACACTGCTTGAATTTTATGGCAAGCTTATCGCATTCCTGACGTGTAGTGTATATTGTGTACAATCATGTACGAGTAATCAGTGTGTGTTTCCACTACAACTTCACCTATAGAGGTTATGCAAATGACATCATGGGGTGAGTTAGTGGAACCACTTAAGGACGCTAAGTACACAGTGGAACTGCTTATGTGCACTATGTATGCAGTGTGAATCGCTAGAACATCGCTGTCCTGCGACTTTGTCAAAGCATCTCAACTGAAGGTGTAATCGCATAACCTCTATAATTTGGCGTCTGCCTGGGTGCCTGCAATGTTCGGATTCAGTCCCTGTCTAGACTAGAGGACTGCCTTTACCAGGTTCCCACGGCACACCCACCAAATCACATTGGAGAACTTTATCGTGTTCTCACCAAAATTACCCGGTATATTGCACCGTAGCTCTTAGGGCCGCAACGGGTAGGGGTTTGGTCGGGTAACGAGTTCGGGTATTTCTATCCGGGTAGCACGGGTACCGTACCCCACTGACCGATGACACCCCTAGTAAAACTCCGGGCATTCACAACATGGCCAGATTGAGAAAACCGAAACTTCACCGACTTGGTATGCATAGCTGGAGCATTTCAAAGCATGAACTACATGTAGTACCTCCTTTATGAACAAAGGAAAATAACATATATAATATATCGGACAGATAAGAAATCAATCAATCAATAAGAGAAGAAAAGCGGAAGTTGACAAACTAAGTTTTATGGATAATACTGAATGTGAAAGATCATCATCACTTCATCAGGGCTGTCCAGGACCACCCATCGTCGACTACGTGCACTCGCAGTGTGTGTGTTTCATCTACTACATTGTGTGTTAGGTCGATGTGCTTATGTGCGGAATGTATGTTTTACGTCATGACATGCATGGTAAAGGCAGGATCTGTCAGAGATATGAGATCTAGAAAGGAGCTTTCCCTACAGTAGCTGTGGTGTCCAGCGGGGCCATCTGCAACCCCCTGCAGACCTTAGTTACACCCGTTCATGTAGACAACGTGGTCAAAATCAACTGTCTCCGTATGTTTCCAAGTATACATATATTGGCCAGCGGTTCTAGAACCACCGGGCCACATGAATACGTTGTCAACGGTTTACTGTCACTGGTGCAGAGCAATGGGTCTCAACCGGTACAAAAGTCCCACTTTAAAATGTGTTCCGATATGACTGCCCCGTGGGCTGCGTTTCTTACACATAGTCGTCGGACTTTGTCACATCGGCGTTGTCTTCACCACCGTCGTCACTGACTTCTTTCAGATCCTCCAGCATTTCGCCAGCCGCGCGTAAGCCTTCACTTTGAACGGTGACATCATCAGCGGCAGCCATGTCATTGCTCATGAAGGATTTCACCGACAGGTGCTTGCTGATTTCTCGCCCAACCCCCGGGTGCTTCCGTCTTTGTAGCTTTTCTTGTGCAGGAGTGGCAGCGGCCGCAGCTGTGGCTGGTTCTTCGGGCTGTGGCTCCTGTGTGTTGGACACGGAGGCGGTGTTCGGTGGGAATGCTTCTTGCTTGGACCTGGACCGCATGCTGCCCTCGGTGGCAGGTGCCCGTTCCGACTCCTCCGCCGGGCTGCCAAGCGATACAATGGAGGTGATGGTGTCGTGCCGCACAGGTGGCCCTGCAATACAAATACGTATGCGCGTGCACACACACGCACACACATGCACGCACACACGTACACACACACACACACACACACACACACACACACACACACACACACACACACACACACAAGAGCAACTTGGAGGTATGATTACACATTGCACATTCAGCCAGGCTTGTCTGCTATAATGATGGTACCTACGATGATGACAGATAGTCACCAGCGACAGTAGAACAATGTAGAAAGAAATGCCAAGATCGGTTGTAGGCCATTTGCGCTTAGCCCACAACATATCTACTAGAAGTACATGTACAGTAAAGCCTGTCAAGGCCACCACTCGGATAAGGCGACCATCTGTCCTAAAAGACCACTGAAACCAGGACCAAGAGATGCTATTTCCAGTCAAATGACACTGGATAAGGAGACCACTTGGTAACAGGGACCATGTGTTGAAGGTCCCTCGAGCGGTCGTTTTGGACAAGTTTCACTGTACGTGTTTGCTGGAGACCAGCGCCCTGCTAACGCAACTAAGCATGAAAATGTGACTGGCCAAGGTTCGTATGTGCACCGGAAAAAGAACTCGCCTCCACGCATTGCCCTGTTCTCCACTACGTCATTCTCCCTCGAGAGCGTGTGTACAGGCAATGTAGCCTCCAACATGCAAGGGGTTTGTCACAACATCAGTGATAGGGACGCATTTGCTTGCGCGCGGGAGTGCCATTAAACCAGATTCTTTCTCACCATTACGCCTGCATGCTCGTAAGTACACGCGCAGCCTGGTGTGCTTACTGCAACAGCATTAATATAGCTACACGGGGGGGGGGGGGGGGGGCAACAGATAAGGTCGCCTTCAGTCGGCAACGGCAGGTTTCACAAATGCTAGCAGAACAGAGTCCAGCACACAGAAATATCTCAACTCATCCACACAGAACAGGACCGGCGGAAGCAGTTTTTGATTCGTCCGGCCATACCCCAGCCAGCCTTTCATACTTTCTGTAGGACAGGGAGGGTATACACATGACCTCCTCGGCACTAAACACACATTGGAGACTGAAGCGTGTTTTCGGTCATGGCCTGATCAACCAGACCGGTTCCGCCGGGCCACACAGACGTCATTTCCTGTCAAACATTTCATTGGTCTTGGCATTAGCGGTACTCGTATCATGCCTCACCTGGCCGCGTGGGTGAGTTTGCGTTCAGAACGGACGAGTGGCCTTTTTTAGGGCTGCGCCGCTTTCCCGGCCGTGGAGGCTCATTGGCCTCCGGTATAGCGGCGACATTCTCTTCGTTCAGCAGGGACGAATCGGCCACCTTGAAGCTGCGCTGCTTTGCGAGGCGCCCGGTGAGGGTGGTAAGCGAGTGTATGGACGATGGCCGACGGTGGTTGACCGGGGCGGTGCTCCTGCCTTGCGACGCTTTCCCGCCGTTCTCTGCTGCGCACGAGAAAACGACAAAGCAGCAACGTGACCAATGTGACATCACGTGACTAGGTGCTGGCTGGCATGCTTGGTTTGCCGCTTAACCATTTGACTGCTGCAGGGTGGTGGATCAGGGCTTTATAAGGACCAGCAAAATGGGTTATTTTCTACTGAAAACACCACACGTAAAAAGCTGCTATGCAAATGAAAGTATGGACTTTTTTAAGGCTATTGCAAGGTGTTTCCACATGACCTACAATGCATGTAGTATCGTCGTGCCTGAACGTACATTCATTATTCATTATAATTATTTCATTTGATCGGTTTTCCGAAGACAAAATAGATGCCTATCACGGAAATCTCAAGGGGGTTTAAAAAAGATTCCACTCCCAATAAGCCCGCCACCTTGAAGTCAACCACTTACGACAAGTCAACGCAACCCTCCGCACCTACTGTAGTATACACAGTACTGGTACCTGTACACGGCCAGCACCACCATTCATCATTACCAGTCAACACACACACAAACAACTCGGAGCATCCTGCACTGGCTCCGAACGGATGCCTCACAATATCAGCACATCCATAATCGGGCCTCACAATCAGCTCATCCAGAATCATGCCTCCAATATCAGCTCATCCAGAATCATGCCTCACAATATCAGCTCATCCAGAATCATGCCTCCAATATCAGCTCATCCAGAATCATGCCTCACAATATCAGCAAATCCAGAATTATGCCTCACAATATCAGCAAATCCAGAATCATGCCTCACAATAACAGCTCACCCATAATCGTGCCTCACAACATCAGCTCATCCAGAATCATACCTAACAATATCAGCTCATCCAGAATTATGTCTCACCATATCAGCAAATCCAGAATCATGCCTCACAATATCAGCTCATCCAGAATTATGCCTCACAATATCAGTACATCCATAAACACAGCAAGTCTCCCTTCTCTTTTTGGTTGTTGTTGTTGTTGTTGTTGTTGTTTTTGTGATAATCGTTGTTGTAGTAGTCGTGGTTGGCTTAAACCCCACTTGCTCGCCAAATCATTACGGCCATCGGGCTCTTTATGCAATGGGTTTGCATGCAGTTAATATAGAAAGAGCAGTATCTTTACTGTACTGCTTATAGGCATGGACGTGTCCGTTCACGTACCTGGCGACTTTGCCTGGTGCGTTGCTGATGGAGTGGTTGGTGGTGTCGTGGGCGAACTCACTGACGTACGCCGCTGGGTCGTCGGGCCGCTGCCCGAGTGAGAAACAGCGCCGGCGCTGCGAGTCTCGTTCAGTGGCACCAACGGCATTGACCCCGGCAACAGGGTCGGCGGTGACTTGACCGGCGCCAGGGGAGTGCGTGACGACGTTCGCGACGTCAGCGGCTTTCTGCCCTGAGCAGTCGCCGGGGGAGATGTTGCCGCGGGGCCGACGTAGCTCGTCGGCACATTCTGCATGGTGGCTATACTGCTGTCATTGCCCACTACTACAGCTGCTTGCCCGTCCGGTATTGCACTCGGGTCAAAGCTGGTCTCGGCTTCGCTAGTGTTTGTAAACACCGTATCGTTGGAATCCATGCGAGATCGTGACGCCGTTCGCAGAAAATCGCCCCAGTTGCTACTTTGCGACGCCCTTCTGCCTGTGCTGACCAGGCTTACGTTCGTGGCCCGGCGGCCTTTTTGGGAGAGAATGTCCTTCCGCTTGCGCTGCTCTGCCAGCAGATGGCACTCCTTCTGGTGGATCGCCTCCCATTGCTCTTGCTGACAGTCGGGGCTGCAGTAGCCGCGCGCGCCGCACGTGGTGCACTCGAACTGAGCCACCTTGCCGCAGGTGCAGAAGTGACGCATCAGCCCCTGCTGGCCTTCCTTGCTCAGCATCTCCGGCACCATCTTCCTGATGAACACGGTATCCTCGTAGACGGTGCTGACGAACTTGCTCTGCTCCAGGCCGGGCTCGATGTCGGTTAAGTCGCGCGTCAGGAAGTAGAACGTGCTGGGTACGCACTGGAAGCTGTCGTTAAGATCGATGCGCAGCTTGCGCAGGCGCGTCGTCGGCAGTGCACTGATAATGCCAATCTTATGCCGTACACTGTGCTCGTCCAGCATGATCACGCTCATCTCCGCGCCGCTCTCCGACTGGAAGGCTGCCGTCTTGGGACGGTTGCGCACCTCGGTCAGGACAACGTGTTCGACGCTCTTCTCGTTGTTGATGGGGAGCGCAGCAGAGTCGCCGATGACCCGCGACTTCCACTTCTTCTTGCTGTGTAGGAAATACAGCAGCGCGAGGATGAGCAGTATGCAAATAATTGCCCCGATGACGGCGCCGACTATCGTCCCGGTATCGTCCGTTGACGTATTTTCTCCAGGCGTCGGACCGGTAGGTGGTTGGCTGGCACTGCTCGTGGGCTCGACAGTGGTGGCCAGCGTCGTGGCTGCTGCCGTGGTCACCGTTGTCGTGGGGACGATGGATGGCGTCGGCGTCGTCGGGGGCGACGGAGTGGTCGGCAGCGGCACCGGGATGCGGATCACTGCGAACTGCGTCAGATGGTTGTGCTGGCAAACAGCAAACGCCTGAGCACCGTCCTGCACAATCTCCGGCAGCTGCACACTGCTGCCAATCGACCATTGCGAGTCCTGCGGAAACACACAGGGAGAAAGAAAACAATGACTCTCCACTACCGAGTCTTCAGTTAGCGATACCAAAACACGGTGAAACAATCACTCGTTGCTGAATCTTTAATTGGCAATACCGCCGATCTAGGCCATTCAACTAGCCGTCGAGCACGTGAGCTATGGGAGTGTGTTCACCTGCACATCACTAACAGTGCATGTACTTTTCAACAAGGATACAGCTCACTTGCACACACACACACACACAGACAGACAGGCCTGATTCAACAAGGATACAGCTCACTTGCACACACAGACAGACAGGCATGATTCAACAAGGATACAGCTCACTTGCACACACAGAGACAGACAGGCATGATTCAACAATGCACATCATGTATGTGTGGTTAGTGTACTCGATAATGACCATCGTAACCGAAACCAATTTGTATTTTCTCTTATCCACGATTCATATCGGCTCTCCATCCGAGTTCAACCTATCATTTTGTCATCTCTTACCTGCAGTGCACGATACGCACAGGTGAAATTGGTCCCCGGCTCAAGTGCACCACCGTTGGGTAGAGGCAGTCGCACTTGGATCGGCTGCGATTGATTCTGCACGCGGAACGCGTGTCCACTGACGGGGTGCATGATGGACACGCTCAGCTGGCGCTGGCTGAGCACGGACACCGTCGACAGGTCTCGGCCGGGAAACTGCCGGTCCAGCATGGACCGAGCCGCCGGGTCGAGAGCTGTGCTGCTCGCTTGCTGGCTGTACTCTGCACGAACAACGCACGCTCCCTGGCATGCGCTGCCGTCCGTACGGCCACAGCCCCAGTTGGCTAGCACCGAGCTGAGCTGGGTACCGAAGTCGACGCAGCTGGAATCCGTGCAGAACTTGCCACGCGGGATGGTGACTTCAGCAGTTACTTTGGCGCCAGGGACGTTGATCATCTCCGCTTGTTCATCGAGCGCCAACTCTGTACACATCGCTGAAGCGACCTGCTGGGTTGCCTTCCGAAGAAGGTCGATTGACTGTGACTGCCGGCTGCGTGGCGCCCGCTCCACTATCTGTGACAGGCTCCTCAAAACTGAGGTGCTGTCATCATTCGAGAGAATTGGCTCGGATTTGAGCATCAGAGACGGGTTGGTGGGTACCAGCACGCTTGTGGTGTGGGGTAACTCCACTAAGCCTGCCTTGAGCGGGACTGCAGCTGTTAGTAGGGTGTCGATGGAACGCAGCAAGAAGTCAGTCGTCCCTTCACTCAAGATGCTCGTTGCTTCTGTGAATGTAACCGCAGTACGCTGTGCCTGCTGCAGTGCTGACAAGTGTGTGGGAAGAGAGGACACGATGTTAGAAAGCAGCTGTGCGCCGTCGTTGGTGACTTGCTCTGTCAGGCTACCTGCACGCCCTGTTGCCTCTAGCGACATGACGGTGAGTTCTCGCAGGGCACTGGACCAATCACGGCGCTCCGTAAAGTCCTGCATGGCGCGGCTGTACGCAGCATTCGTCAGGACGTCGGTTGCGGTTGCCGTTCTGGAAACGGCGACCGGGAATGATGCAGACGCAGTCGCGGCGGTGCTGGCCCTGCTGCGGATCTCTAAACTAATCGGATAGTTCCCATGTGGTAGCCGGGTGCTCACTTCTCGCCTAACCGTCCAACCTGTCAACCAATTGCGGGTACCCGTTTGCAGCTCAACCCCAAAGCGATACTCCAGGTCACTGCCATGTACCTCGTCTTGCCAGTTGGCCGCTTGCAACACGAACACGGTCTCCTCGTTACCCGATGCGGGAGAGGCGATGAGGGTTCCGCCGGTAGCTGGCGGCAAGACTCGGAACTGGATGTTTGATGACAATGTAGCGGCGCTGCCATCGAAGATACTGATATTGACGGAGTACTTTCTGTTTGTGGACAGCACGGCAGGAGCGACGATCAGCACCACTTCCGCTTCCAGCTGCGGAGCAATGGAGAGCGAGTGTGTCAGCGAGGTTACTGAGCTGTTGCTGGTGAACTGCTGTTGGCGGTGACTTGGTGACATCAAGGTTGCGCGGCTGTCGGACAGGTTGAATACGGTCAAACCTGCAAGGCAACACCACCGTTGAACAACACATGTGCTGGGTCAGCAAACAGTATATACAAACATTATGCAATAACGTACAGAAGCTGTAAGCTTCAAAGTTACAAAACTGGCAAGTAAGGAATAAGTTTCATACAGGCATAAGTCAAACGACGTTTGCTAGACACAGCTGTGGAGTAGTACAGCTGTGGAGTAGTACAGTCGTGACACAGCTGTGGAGTAGTACAGCTGTGGAGTAGTACAGTCGTGACACAGCTGTGGAGTAGTACAGTCGTGGCCAAAGAAATCCGACACGCGAGGCAGAAGCAGCGCCACGTTTCCATTTCAATTACGTCTTGCACGGTCCAAACCCCCAGCCGAGGGCCACAACGAGGGGCGCAAGGGGGGGGGGGCACGACCGTGGTGCTGCTTTCGGCTCATGGGTCGGATTCCTTTTCCCACGGCTGCTACTCTCTAGTCACAGTTTTACCGAGCCAGACCAGTACCGTATAGCCGGGAATTTTCGGTGCTGTACAATTTTCGGTATTTCCCAAAAATCAACGGTTCGGTAGAGCGGACATTTCGGCAAACCAGTTTTCCAGATCCAAAAATGCATTTTGCACACTGTGTGGCATGTCATGGTTGAATTTTAGGTAGCGTTTTATTTTAGGTAAAAATTGCCCATAGCAAAGTTATCGAAAATATATCTCCACGAAAATTTCCGTTTTTAGAGTAACACGCCACACACAACTTACCTGCTCCGCCGATTGATGTCCAAGTGACGTTCAGCGGCAACTGGCTGGACGTAGTAATCCACGCTCGCAGCGCTACCTTCTGTCCAGCATACACCACGGGCACCTGGCTAGATAGTACTCGAATACGCGTGCCCGGCTGTGTGGCGTGCGTTTTGATCAGGGAAGTGGCGCTCGCGCTGCTACGGTCTCCGGCGCGGACCGTGACGCTGAACTTGTATAATTGATTCGGCGACAGTTTGCCCGCTGGTATAGACAGATGTGCACTTGCTGGCAGAGGTAGCGGCGCATTGACGCCGCGACTCGACTCACACGCGATGCCCTGCCCGTCAACGCACTGCCACCGGTACTGGGGCGAGGTGAACTGCTCGCCTTCTCGTTGCGCGAGCAGAACGGCCGAGAGCGAAATGTCCTCTTGCGAGGACACGTCCCGATCACCGCCCTGGATCACAACAGCCAGGTCAGATTGACGCACCGACACTGCCTTGGTCGCTACAGTGTTCACAGAAACACTACCAGTTTTTGTGTTGTACCATACAGTGGAAGTTGCCACCGCCGAGAATTGTCCAGTGCCGATTGATGAAGTGCTTAGCAGGAATGTGCTCAATGGCTGAGAAGATGACGACACTAGCGTGTCGGGCACCAAATTATTGCCAGAAAGTCTCCATAGCTGCCACAGCGTGTTCGACTTTGTCACAACTGTACACGCCGAATGCCACAGCTGCGTGCCCAGCACGACAGAGTCCGCCGCAGCTGTCAGGGACAGTTCGGGCGGGCCAGTGATGCGCACATCAACTTCGCTGCTACTCACATTTGGTTTCAGGACGGGATGTCGAGCCGGACTGGACGGCATGTCGAGAGCGTTGACAACGGTCAAGTGCACATAGTACCGGACGTCGGGCTGAAAGAAGCTGGCATTGAGAGACAGAGTGCTGCTCAACGGCGATTGCGCACTGGCCATCTGCTGCAGAGCTGAGAAGCCAGGCGTTTCGGCATCCTCCGTGGCCACGCTCCACTGGTACAGCACAGATCTGTACCCGACCGAGCCAGTCGCGTAGCCCCGCACGACAATGGATCCACAGCGGGGGACTTCCGCAGGGCCGACGATTGATGCGGTCGCACTGGGCGCCTCGCGGAAGGGAGCGGTCACAACTATCTGATCCCCCACAGAGGCCCGAGGGTGGGCTTGGGAACGAGCACGGATGCTGTTATCTACGGTGTGCAGGCGCGACGCAAGCGACACACTGCCTGCACTGCTGAGCGTGACCACCACTGCCTGTTGGCTGTCAGACTCCCAGGCGCAGCGTGCCAAGCCGTCGCCGAGCAGTGCCGCTGCGTCCTTGAAGACCTGCGCACAGTTGGTCAAGTCGCCAGAGTCCAGGGTGATGGCTCGGTCCCAGCGCACTCTCAGCGTGGTCAGGCCGTTGGAGAACTGCGCGGTCTGCATCGCCGGGGCACTCCGCTCGTAGGTGAACAATGTTGGCATACCAACCGATGTACGCAGTATGCCCGAATGCTGCCCATCAATACTAATGTACATCTCTACACGGCACGACTGCGCCACCTCTGGCAGCTGACAGGTAACGTGCGTTACGTTCATGGACGTTGGCACTATGCTGTAATAGCCGTCAACGTCAAGCTGCTTGCCGGCCAGCGCTCCGCATCGTGTTACGTTTCCCAGCAGACAGCGCACGTCGGCACTGGGCACAAAGTTCTTTCCGGTCACTGTGACTCGAGGCGATGATTCGGTGAGCGACCTGTCGGGCTCAATGGCATCCACGACCATGTTGGCGGTGTCGAGGAACACGAACCTCGCGTTAATGTCTTCCAGGTCGTTGTAGCGGTCATCGGGCCGCACGCTGAGCTTGAACGAACCAGGCGCCAACGACAGTGGTGCGATGCAGCTCATGGAGCTCTGGTCCAGCATGTACGCCTTGGGACTCAGCTGTGTGCCGGTGCTGCCCGTGAACAAGCAGCGCGGGTTGACCGTCACCTGCGAGTTCGTCTCCACGACGCCACCGCACGACGGGATGAAGTTTCCGTTGGCGTCGAACGCGGACGACCCGGAGCTGTTGACAAAGAACCCAGCGCCCTGCACAGAAATGCGGGTGCCGCCCGACGCCGGTCCGCTCCGCGGCTGAAGATCGTAAATCCTCAGGCAGCCGCAGTTGTGACCGTTGCAGTGGCCGCAGCGATCACGCACCTTGCCGCTGGCCGGCTGGCCGTCGCAACCGTTGCAGGTCGTGCTGCTGCCACCACACACACCGCAGTTGTCCAGCGTTGCGTTGGCGTGCGCCGTGCTGTTGTAGCACACGCCGCACGCGTCCCGGAGAGCCGCGCCGAAGCACGTTCCCTCGCAGTCGCGGTACTCCAGCGGCACTCCGGGCGTGCTGACGTTGCGGCATACGCCGCAGTGCGCGTCCTGCTTGAACGGCCCGCCGCACACACCCGTGCAGTCCAGGCGATAGTTCCTCGGGAAGAGTGCCGTCCCGCCAGTGCAGTCACCGCAGTCGTCAATGCTGGCATTCCCGTGACACACTCCAGCACAGTCCCTGCATGTCAGCAGAACCAAGACACAGTCACACAAGTACACTGTATGCACACCATCACACACGGGGACACGTGTGAAGTACAGGTAGTCTGGCTGTTCTACAAGGCACTACCTACATGTACACAGTGGCATTCACTAGAGATGAGAATGATAACACTTTCACTGATCATGTGATGTATTGTTACATTGTAGTGTGCCAATGCTGGCAAGTTATTCTAAATACGATCTGCTACATGTGTCAAGGTTATGCGATTACAATGATCAGTGAGTGGTATCGCACATATAGCTTGCCACTCAGTACAAAATACCTTTGATAAACCCCTATCCTGTTCATTCCCTCCCTCCCTCTCTCCCCTCTCTCTCTCTCTCTCTCTCTCTCTCTCTCTCTCTCTCTCTCTCTCTCTCTCTCTCTCTCTCTCTCTCTCTCTCTCTCTCTCTCTCTCTCTCTCTCTCTCTCTCTCTCTCCGTCAACACAGCCAATCATGTTGTAAAGCACTGGCCTTACCTGACAGAGTTGTACTGTCGTGATGTGCCTCCCTCCACGCACTGCCCGCAGTCGTCAATCACGGCCGAGCCGAAGCATGTGCCGTGGCAGTCACGGCTTGTGTTCCGTCCGCGGCACACACCACAGTCATCACTGCCATGTCCGCTGAACGGCACTGAGTCGCAGGCCAGGCATGAGGAGCCGTCGCCACCGCACGAACCGCAAGAATCCCGAACCTGAAAGGCAACAAACATACAGAACTTGATCAGGTACTCGAATATAGATGTACAGTTGAAACCTGGTTTCGATGACCGCCTATACACTTATGGCAAGTGCATTGTGATCAGATTCTGCAAACACACGCAGTCTCGTCTCTCAAACCAGGATGACAATTGCACGCTGTCCATGTTTGGTGACAAGGAATAGTGGCCCGACATACCAGGCAGCTGCTGCGGAAACCAGGCAGACATTTGCACAGGTTTCGCCTTTTCTTACATCCAGCTGCATGTAAGTGATGCGCAACAGGCCACCGTTCCCTACCTTCTCCTATGGAGGGGTTTCACAAGTTTGCCATGTGCCATGTGACCCAATCTGTGCAGAACATGATCATGGCATGTGGACAGTGGAACCAACATGGCCGACCGCCCATCATGACTGTGCCCATAGATGCAAGGATTGAATGGAGTTGGAACCAACATGGCTGTTCTGTATGGTCATGTGATAGATGTGAAACCACTCTATTCATTGTAACCAAGTTCACTGCTCCGGGTCTCTCACCTTGTTAGAAGCCGACACTCCATCGCAGCCAATGCAGCTCGACCCGGTTCCGGCGCACACACAGCAGCTGTCATGCACGTTAGCCGATCCGGCCACTCCATCGCAGCCTAGCCGCGATGCGAGAATGCTGACCGTGCTCTTGCTGAATGCTTGACACGGTGGTGCGTCGCTTGCGTTTGTCAGGGTGGTGTAGCAGTCTGTGTTCACATTCATCTGACCTGTGAGTAGTGGAATGTGGACAGAGAGACAGACAGACATGCACGCACGCACACACACACATACACACACACACACACACACACGCACACACACACACACACAAACACACACACACACACACTATGATGCCAGGAAATGAAGCCACACAATAAGAATTTTCCATCCTACCAAGACCACCGTTTTAATAAACACACACGCCAGTCAGTGACACAGGTGCCACGACAAGCTCCCAATGATGACTTTGCTCCGGTAGAACTACTCACCTGACTTGCCTCCGAGGACTACGTCCCAGAACTTGACACGCAGAGAAGGCCCATTAGTCGGACCAGTGACCCAGTAGTAATCAGGGTTTGGACTGAAGCGCACTCGATCGTACGGCCGTAGCAGATGCGCACGCTGTTCAGAAAGCGACGTCGGGAAGGTCAGCCATCGGGACGTCCGGGAAACGTTCAGCGAGCGAGCGTGCTCGAGCAGCTTCTGCGTATTGGAAGCCACTGCTCGCACGTCACCGACGGTGATGCTGTTGAACACGACGTCCTCCTGCAAGAGATACTGCCAGGTGCCACGCTGCTGGCTCTGCGTACCCGTGACTGCAATTCCGATCGGTGTGCCGTCCAAGTCACTCGCTGCTTGCTCGGCTAGATCGCCGACCAGAGTACCGTAGTTGAAATCACCGCTGCTGCCGCCGGCACTGGAGGGTTGACAACCAGCCCCCTTTCCAAAGTATGCATCTGCAGAGCAATAGGGTACACACACCAACATAATGTCATCAGTTGTGACACATGTGGGGCACACGTCCCATGAGGTATTTGCAATTCATCCACAGTCAACTTGGCTTATATTGACTGCAGATATAACGACAATTCGCGAATAACGACAGAATTTCCATGCCCAGAGCAAAGTCCCATCTAATTGTGATACATATAATGAGACTTCGGGTATACGGACACTTTGCGAATAAGGACACTTTTCTGATGCCCCCACCGAGTGTCGTATATAGTTGACTGTACGTGTACATGTCTGCGCTGTGCAGTGTAGAGTGTACCCAGTACTTTGCCCTTTTCACGTGCTGCAGCATCGGGATACTGGTCGCAAGGGCAGGCGCGTGACCCGTATGGGTTCCTGGGTGCCCAGAACCCCCCTTTTTTGCTCAAAATGCAGGATTTTGCTTCATTTTTTGAAAATTTTCACGGGGGAGGCCCCCCCGGAACCCCGCCTTGAATGGCACCGGCGCACGCGCCTGCATGGGCGCATACCCACTTTGATTCGGCTCCACGGTCTACACATTTTACACGTGGAAATATGGACCAGTTGCTCACTGTAGTTTACCTACCTTTTAGTAGCACTTTGTGTTCGAAACATGTGCACATACAGAACGTTCCAGCACCTTGAAATATGCTGCAGTCACCCCTCGTTGACCCAGCTTTATGTGCTCTGGATGGCAGTCGTGAGTCAGTCAAGTGAGAATTCAAGTCGGCAGGAAAAGCGCGAGCTCCCACGTAGGGAGCAACACACGATTCTTTATGAACCAGCAGCTCCAATAGACCATCAGAACTTTCAGTAATCAACATGTCCCATTTATGTCCACTGCACCAATACATCAGATTTGTTAACCCAGCCCCCTGCCCAATTCAGCACAGTGTCCATAGCACACATAGTGCTGGGTTATAAAGGGACTACTGCACATGGATCACAATGGATGGCGGCAGATAATCTGAAGGAGTCGCCACAACTGCCGGATATTGACATACTGTAAATATACAAAATTTCGGCGCTGCACAATTTCGGCACTTCACGATTTTTGACATTTCGGCGGCGATTTATTTTCGGCGTGAGGTAGAGTGCATGGTATAGTGCAACAGATGCTGTGAAAAATTTCATCGGTGTTTTAATTTAGGCGTTTTGGGTCGGTGCCGAATATAGCCGAAATTAAATAGCTGCCGAAAATTTGTATATTTTACAGTACATAATATCGGACAAAGCTAGAGAACAGCAGCGGAAGCATGTATAGCACGGCTGTGCATGTTGTACGCGTATCTGTGTTATTATTATTATTACTGCACATGAGGAACTATTCTAGTGTAAAATGAATCTTCAGAGACCCCTCGTATTATACGCTTGACACGTGTGTGCATGTGCCTGTGGAAAAGATATTACCATCGCGGATGACATCAATGTGGTATCCCAGCGATGCTAGCACGGACTTCCTGGTTGTTACAAGCATCTGAACCTGCGGCAGTGTGAGGGCATTGCCCGCGACGCTGAAGAGGATCTCGGAGCTGCAAACAACACACCAAAACCACGGCAAGAGACATGCATGTATGAGCCGCGTGCTATGTCAAGCAATATCCTGTCCATCGCATCACAAACTAATGAAGTCAGCACGATCGATTGTAGAGGTTATGTGAATGACATCATGATACTGATACAATGACATCATGATAATCATGATGATGTCATTGTATATTGTATACTTTGTATGGAGTGGCAACATGCCACTGCATATACACTGTGGTATCTCAAATAACTGTACTCGCATAACCTCTGCTGCAAGCCTGTAAGCAGTATTCTGAGTTGTTCGTTTGATCATGATGATGACCTAGGCGAAGAAGAAAAGGAGGGTCCTGGGCTGCCGTAGCTTTCTCGGTATTATTAATTTTCATCGTATCTCACTTGACTGTTTGTGGCATAGACCGACCCAATCAACACTCTTCCAGTTTGAACCAGTAGTGCATTGCTGCACAGAATTTGACCTTTGAACTGATGTAGTAGCAATACTCTCAATTTGACCTTTGAAATGATGTAGTAGCAATCCTCTCAATTTGACCTTTGAACCGACCCCATATCCATGTACATCTATCCAAGTACATCAGGTCCCGGTGACTGTGATAAGTACATCAGGTCCCGGTGACTGTGATAAGTACATCAGGTCCCCGGTGACTGTGATAAGTACATCAGGTCCCCGGTGACTGTGATAAGTACATCAGGTCCCGGTGACTGTGATAAGTACATCAGGTCCACTGTGATAAGTACATCAGGTCCACTGTGATAAGTACATCAGGTCCACTGTGATAAGTACATCAGGTCCACTGTGATAAGTACATCAGGTCCACTGTGATAAGTACATCAGGTCCACTGTGATAAGTACATCAGGTCCACTGTGATAAGTACATCAGGTCCACTGTGATCAGTACATCAGGTCCACTGTGATAAGTACATCAGGTCCCCGGTGACTGTGATAAGTACATCAGGTCCCGGTGACTGTGATAAGTACATCAGGTCCCGGTGACTGTGATAAGTACATCAGGTCCACTGTGATAAGTACATCAGGTCCACTGTGATAAGTACATCAGATCCACTGTGATAAGTACATCAGGTCCCGGTGACTGTGATAACGTTAATTGACTTATAGAGCCACACAGGGTATACAGGGTATGCTAGTATTCGCAAGAGGCCGGTCAAGTACTGTCCGTGTGACAGGCACGCAAGATACGATTAATGAAACTTTGCCCTGCACGTGTGCAGTAATGGTTCCAATATCTGACAGAGTGCTGGTGGTGTTCCCGTAGATGTGGGCCAGCACTGCGTGCACCCGTGCAAGGGCAATATTACGGTAATTATTTTCATAAACACATGTATGGACTCGGTCCTTGGTCCTTTTCCTTTTCTATAAAACACATATGTACTATGCGTTCATGCAGTCAAACACCATTCAACCTCCTTGTCTTACCGTGTTGTGTTGACGGGTTCGATGCGCAGGACACTGATGCTGTGCAATAGCGCTACGAACATGTGCTGCTTGAAACTATCGTTGCTTTGACGCAAGTCGCTTGCTGAGCGCTCCACGACTGCAGTGAAGACATGGTCATACTCGTAGCGAATGCGGTACGGAATCGGCTTCAAACCGGCAGTTGGCTGTGTTCTTGTCGCCCTGTCCTCGCTGTTCAGCACCTCAAACTCGACCGTCCGAGCGGCAGACGAGACGCTCGTTGATGCGACCACCGAGGTGAGTGAGCGTTGGGCGGCTGCTCGAATGGGCACAACGCCCTCGGCAGCGGTCGTGACACCATCCCATGCGAGCACGGTGACGGGATCGGGGCGACCGTAGAAGTTAGCTTGTGGCAAGAACCGGAGCCGTGCCCGTTGATCGACAAACACGCTTACGTTACCCGTGGTGCCGGGAAGCACCCGGTCAATATAGTACCACGTGGAGAGCGTACCGTGCGGGGAAATCTGCCAACGACCGCTTTCATCCGGTAACTGAAAGGTGACAACTAGGCCTGGTTGATAGCCAGCCTGTGCGGACATCAAACGACTGGCAATGATCGAGTTGACACGCCGCACCTGATCAAAGTAGTCAGAGAGGTTCCCGGCACTGACCAACAGCTGGTCAACACCGACGGGCAGGTACGGGATGTGGGAGTCATTCCCGCGCTGTGTCCAGCGCTTCAGGATGGGACCGGTAAGAAGTGTTGCCATTGGCGTTCCGTCATTCAGGTAGGCAGGTGTATCCTCTACGAGATCAACCAATGTCAGCGAGGAGTTGAACAAGGACGGGAACTCAATGGCCGGTTGAATGATGGCGATGATGAATGCAGTGCCAGCACTGAAAGCACTGGCGCCACCCGTAGTTAGTGGATCCACGGTTACGACTTGACCTGTGCTCGCCAAACTGCCATTGCCTACTGGATGCTGCAGCCCAGCCATGCTGCCGTCGTACGCGTACGCCTTGAACCAGACGGCGCCGATGGCGGCGGTACTGGCTACGGGTCGTATGCGAGTCATGGGACCGAGCAGCAGTGCATGTCGTGTAGATACGTGCTGTGGTATGTCCATCCATGCCGACGGACGGCAGTCGGATGGCTCTAGCGGAGAGGAAACACACTCGGCGTACTGCCAGCCAGTCTCATTGTCAGCACCTGTCCCTACCACTGCTAGGCCAAGAATATCTGAATCGCTGTCGTTGGCAAACGGTTGGCCATTGAAGCCGTTGGCAAGTAACTCGGACACCCAGACACCTTCGTTTAGCAACAGCTGCGAAATCAGGTCTGCGTAATCGTCCCTGCGCACTTCCCCGACGTACAGCAGGTCTGTGTTGAGGACGGGCGATGAGTTTGGTGTCGGTGTGACGGACGGCGGCTCGGTCGTCATCAGCACGCACGGCACGGACGCGTTGATGCACGAGCGTGTGTAGTTGCAGTACACCAGTGCAGTGCTGTCACAGCATTCGCCCATGTCCAGCGTACAAACCCCGGTCTTGGGGCACTCCAGCAGCGGAGCGCGGCACTGCACGCACGGATCGGGCACGTTGACGTTGATACAGCGGTCACGCAGTGAGCAGAATACCATGCTGGCGGCGGTGCACGATCGGCCGACCGACGACATCAGGACTGCGGCATTCCTGCACGTACGCACGCCGCCGTCCGCTTCGACGAGAGCCTGGTCGACGAGGCACGTCGTTGCGGATGACGAGTTGTCACACGTCGTGTGCGTGTCCAGGGGCAGACAGCGCGCGGTGGGCTGGCACAGCGAGTGCGTCGTGTGACAGCGCGTCTGTTCGCACGGCTGCTCGAGCGGCATGCACGTACCGTTGGTGGAGTTAGCCGCAGCACACACCCAGTGGGTTGACTGCGAAGAGCAGTAGAGATACGCGCATGCCTTGCCGCTGAGAATCGGCAGCCACCCGGCAGAACATGCTCCGCACTGTCCTGGCGATGATGTAGTCATATTGTCTGAAGTCGCATTGTCGTACTGCGAACAGTCTGCGGCCGGCTGTGTCAGGTAGCAGAGGTGGGGCAAGCAGAAGTTCCCGCTGAAGTCGAAATTGACGTCAACAAGTGCGTACGTGACCAGCTGTCCGTCAGACGCGGCGATCGTGACGTTGTAGCGGGTGTTGGCATCCAGTCCTGGTTGTGCAGTGACAGACACATGTCCCGTTACGGCGTCGATACTCAACAACCCATCGTCATTGCCGGCCGAAATGCTATACATTACATTGCCATAGAATTCATCAGCGTCAGAGGCGTTCACCATGGCAACCACATAGCCAGCGGGCAGGTAGCGACTCATGTTGAGTGTTTCAGGTACGGCAATGAACCAGGGATAATTGTCGTTTTCGTCCACCACCTCAATGCGGATGCGCTGGCGAGTGGATCGCCGATGAACATACCCATGATCCAGCGCGAACACCTCGATATCATAGCTTGTGGCAATCTCATGGTCCAGCGACTCCTGCAGGATTAGCTCGCCACTGGTGGCGTTTACCAGGAATAAGTCCTGGCCGTTCGGTGCCAGTGCGTTGCGTGAGATGGCGTAGCTCAGGTATGCTGTGTCCGGGTCACGGGCCACCAGGCGTGTCACGACGCTGCCAACCGCGGCGAGTTCGGGCACGAAGAACGTGTAGTTGGTCTTTTCGAACACCGGGTTGTGGTTGTTCTCGTCGGCAATGCGCAGAGTGATCACTGCGGTGGAGTGGAGTCTGGGACTGCCGCGGTCAGTGGCCGTGATACTAACATTAACAGATTGTACATCGCTGTAGCTTAGCTGCTGGGTGAGGATCAACGCACCGGACAGTTCGTCCACGGTAAGGCTGGAGAGAACATGCGCCGGCGCGGCTAACGCGTAGCGTATCAGGGCGTCACTGCCGTCGGCGTCGGTGGCCGCGAACACTCCCAACACCGCCGGGGTGGCGATGGTCTCGCTTACATCAACGGTGAACAGCGACTGCGAAAACTCCGGCGCATTACGGTTAACCGGCACGATAGTGATGTAGACGGCAGCGGATGCTATCTGCGAGGCTGGAGTTCCGTAGTCTCCGGCTACGACTGTCAGTACGACGGAACTGACGGAAGACGCGTTAAGATCGGCAGTGGTTGTAATGGCACCGGTTGACGTATTAACAGCGAACAAGCCTGGAGCGCTGGTGTGCTTCACAGCATAGAATATCATACCGTTGTAGCCACTGTCCGGGTCAGTGTTGTTGGTCATCAGTACGCGGTGGCCAATCGGAACGTCTTCGTGCACGGACACGTGATACCTGGCGGACGGGAACGACGGTGAGTTGTCATTGGTATCGGCAATGGCAATGTCTACAGTTGTGAACGTCATCAAGGGCTTGCTGCTCGCATAGTTTGTGGCTGAAACATTCAGCACAACATTGCTTGCCATTTCATGGTCAACAAGAGTATACGTGGACAGCTTGCCGCTACGCTGATCGATGGTGAACCAGTTGAGGTGGTTTCCGGACACAATGCTGTACGCCACTGACGATTCCGTTGCAGAGAGATCCCCGTCGTGACTTTCCAGTGTCAACACGGACCGGCCTGGGAACGACAGTTCCGAGACTGATACCCGATACTGGCTGGCCACGAACGTTGGTGCAAACTCATTGACGTCGCGCACCTGAACTCGGACAGCCACACTCGCCAGTTCGCCTTGGTTGGAGTCCAGAGCAGCAACAATCAGGATATGAACCTGCTGTGCTTCGTAGTCCAAGCTACCGCCAAGCATGATATCGCCTGACGAGGAAATCGCGAACAACTGCTTGTCATTTCCATGCTGTACAGAGTAGCCTGCAGCGGACGGCATCCGCACTGTCCCGACGGCACCGGTTGGGACTGCATCCTCGTCCACCGAGAACGTATACGAGGGCAGATCGAACGCGAGTGATTGACTAGACACTATGCTTAAGTGGACGAGTTGACAGGTGCTGAGCTCCCCATCGGACGCGCAGACTCCAGCAGTGAGTATTGTGTCGGCAACGTTGACTAACAATGCGCTTACGGACAGTGCGCCGGTACGCGAGTCTGCGGACAACAACGATGGCACAGTGCTGTTGGAGAGCGTCGGGTCGAGGCTGTACGCCAAGCCTGGCGAGGCACCGGCTGGAAAGTCACTGTCCTCCGCGGCCGCAAACGCCACTTGTGCACCTACGATGGTGGACGCGTACACCGACACGGACTGCGTTGCAGTGACGAACCGTGGCCGATTGGTGTTTGGGTGTCGAACGGTCACAGTCAACACGGCTCGGTCAGATTGCGTTGGCACACCCCCATCTTGCACACCAATGCTGAGCTGGAAGAGGCGATCCATGTCAGTCAGAGCGCGTGTAGTACTTACCACCCCGGACTGTGGGTCGATGGTGAACAGTGCCCATGCATTGCCAGTCAGTATAGAAAACTGCAGCTGTGCATTTACACCGGTGTCCAAGTCCTGCGCCGTGACGGTCGAGACGACCGAACTCGCCGTGGCATTGCTGAGCAGTGTCACCCGCAGACCGGCCACTCCTTGGCTGATGACTGGCCGTTCGTCATTGACGTCGGTGACCGATAGTCTCACGACTTGACTGGCAGTGTTGGATGGGACACCGGAGTCCTCGGCAGTGACCGTAAGTTCGTAGACGGCCTGCCGCTCTCTATCCAGCAAGGATACCAGCGACAATGTACCTGTCTGCTCGTTGATGGAGAAATGTCCTTTAGAGTTTCCAGCGGAAAGGTAGAACCGCAGCCGGGCATTGGTTGTCGAGTCGGCATCCGTAGCATGGATATTTGTTATCGTTGCGTAGAGTGGCGTGGTCTCCGGAACGGTGACATTGATCTGAGACGCAGCAAATACGGGCGAATTGTCGTTCAAGTCGACGACGGTGACGACTAGGAATGCCGTAGCACTGCGCGTCACTGCTCCCATGTCTTCCACCAGCACGGTCACGTTGTAGCGCTGCGTTCTCTCGTAGTCCAGTGCATTCCGTACGGTGACAAGACCCGTCGTGTTGTCTATGTGGAAGTCGCCGCCGGTGTTTCCGGCCGCGAGGGTGTACTCGAGCCGGGCATTGTGCGTACTATCGGCATCCGATGCCAGGATTTGCAACGACCATCCACTTAGCGTGTTCTCATCGATCACGGCCGTGTAGCCGCTTGGCGAGTCAAATCGCGGCGTGTTGTCGTTGACATCGGCGATTGTGATGTTGACGGACGCAGTCTGTGACAGCGACGGCGATCCAGCGTCATGCACGATGACCTCGAGATGGTATTCAGCCTGTGTCTCATAGTCCACCCGCACCCACAGTGAGATCTGGCCGGCTGTCGTGTTGATTTCAAACGCAGCGGAGTCATTGCTTGGAATCAGGGCGTAGCTGAGCACAGCATTGCTTCCGTCGTCCTTATCGACGGCCTCCACCCTAAACACATCAGATCCGATGGGCAGGCTTTCAGGGATAGTTTGATTGTAGAACTCGGGTCTGACAAAGCTTGGCCGTTCGTCGTTCTCGTCCAGGATTGTCACGACGACGACTGCTGACGAGAGCGGTGATCTCAACGGCAGACCGTCCTCGGCCACGATGTGCAGCTCGTGAAGACCGCTGACTTCACGATCCAGCGGGCGCAGTGTGGTAATGTTGCCAGTGTGCTTGTTGATGGCAAAGCCGTCCGCACTGCTGTCGTTGTGCAGGCTGAACGTAACGTTGTTCAGATCCAGATCAGTAGCCTCCACTTGCCCGACTGCAGACCCCGCTGGCAGGTTCTCGCCAACTGAGAACCCATACTCCGGTTGCCTGAAGATCGGGTAGTGATCATTCTCATCCAGAACGTATACCGTCACGTTCGCACGGCCCCGGAGACTGGGACTGCCTCCGTCCGTTGCTACCACCATGAAGTCGAACACGGCCTGCGTCTCTCGGTCAAGGGCCCGAGAGAGCGAGACGAGTCCCGACGTGGAGTTGATGATGAACGGAGAGACGCCCGACGCGTCAATACTCAACCTGACCTGATTGTTTGGTAACGTGATATCGCCGTCGGTGGCCGTGATTCGGAACACGGACCGATTGCCCAGGCCGCCTTCCTTGACGGAAAACTGAAACAGCGGGGACGTAAAGACCGGATTCACATCATTTACGTCAACCACCATGATCGTGAGCTGGGTGACCGTGGACAGGCGATCCTCCGGTTTCACTGCGTCGTCGGTTGCCGTGACGTTCACGACATACATGTGCTGTATCTCGGCATTGAGCATACTGGTAAGGTAGACTGTACCATTGTCCGCCGCAATGCTGAACGGCGACGACGAGGTGACACCGGACGCGAAGGAGAAGTGGAAAATCCCGTTGGATCCCACGTCGGCGTCGGTCACCATGAAGCGCAGCAGGGCGAGGCCGAGCGGTGCGTCTTCGCGGACATGCACCACGTGTGTTGCGTTGCTGAACGCCGGAGAGTTGTCATTGACGTCCGTGACGGTGACGGTGACGATTGCGGTCGACGAGAGCCGCGGCGTGCCCAAGTCGTTTGCAACAACAACAAAGCTGTAGTGTTGCTGCCTCTCGCGGTCCAGGGCGCCAGAAATGAGAACGCTTCCATCAGCTGTGACATTGAATAGCGAACTGGAGCTGCTGTTCAGCGCATACCGGGCCTGGGCGTTCAACCCAATGTCCCTGTCGGTTGTCATCAACTGGAGGATGTCGGACCCGACTGCAACGTCTTCTGGCAGCGTCACGTTGTACTGCGTGGTGGTACTGGAACCGAGCACAAACTGCGGATGGTTGTCGTTTGCATCAGTGATGTTGACTGCCACGGGCACCGTAAAAGCTCGCGGTGGAACGCCTTTGTCAGTGGCAGTGACCGTGAACTGCCACAGGTCCGATATCTCTCGATCGAAGACGGCGGCAGAGGAGATTGTGCCACTGTCCGGGTCAACACTAAAAAGAGCTCCCGCTCCCGTGGTACTCAGTGAGTACACGAGCTCTGAGTTCAGCCCGATATCTTTGTCTGTGGCTGTCACTGTCATTATCGACTGCCCTGCCGCAAGGTTCTCACAGATCTCCCCTCCGTAATTTGCTTGACCGAACGCTGGTGTCTCGTCGTTCACATCACCGAGTGTGATGGACAGGCAAGTGGTTCCGTTACGTCGCGGACCGTCTGCACTGCTGTCCGTTGCCACGACTACAAGAACGTAGACTGGCACTGACTCACGATCCAGTAAAGCAGTGCTCGCGACGATTGCCGTAAGCGGATCGACCGAGAAATGCGATGCGCTCTGCCGTGCTACGATGCTGAACTGCATGTGGCACTGCACCGCCTTCGCCGCACACAGTTGCAGACACTCGGTCAAGTTCTGCGGACTGACGAGCGCATAGATTAGGTTCGCGTTGGCCCCGGCGTCGGCGTCAGAAGCCAGCACGGTCACGACAGGCGTGGAAACACTCGCATCCTCCGGCACTGACGCGTTGACATCGGCGCTGGGAAACACGGGTGAATTGTCGTTGTAGTCCAGCACTGTTACGATGGCCAGTGTGTCCGCTGATTTGCCACCCCCGTCCGTGGCTCGCACAGTAAAGACGTAGCGCGAGTAGCGTTCCCGATCCAGACTGCCTATCAAGAACACCGCCCCGGTGGTGGTATTCACGGAAAACTTGCTGGCCGCATCGTCAGACCCGGAAAAGATCGGCTGATAGGAGAGTACATTGCCATTTGACGTAGAGTCGGCGTCTGTGGCTGTCACCACAAACATGGCCGAGTTGATTGGCCAGGTCTCGATGACCGAGATGGTGTACGAGGCGTTCGCGAACACGGGCGCGTTGTCGTTTACATCCAGCAGGTGTATGCTGACCAGCGTGCTGGCGTTGAGCCGATATCCCGGTGGTGCCATGTCTTGGGCCAGAACTGTCAGGTTGTAAGACTTGACCGTCTCAAAGTCCAGACTTTGGTTGACCACTATGGCGCCGGTCAGCGGACCAATGCGGAAGTGACCGAGCGCGTTGCCGGACTGGATTGAGTAGGAGGCGGTGGCGTTTTCGGCTAAGTCGCGGTCAGTCGTGTTTACCCGCAGCACCTGGAAACCAATTCCACTGGACTCAGGGATGGACACAGTATACGGTACACCTACAAACACAGGCGCAAACTCATTGACGTCCAGCAGCTCGACACTGACCGTGACGTTCTGCACCTGGCGGGGAATTCCCTGATCAAATGCCTCGACGATGAGGTCGTAACGAGTCATGAGCTCGCGGTCCAAGGAGCTACTGGTCGTGATCCACCCGGAGGTGACGTTGACAGAGAAGACCGTGCCTGGATTGCCACCAACGATTGCGTACTTGACATCGCGATGAGGGAAATGCACGTCAATATCCATGGCCGTCACGTGAACAATGGGCGTGCCTATTGGCGCATCCTCACTCACGTTGGCTCTGTAGCTCGACTGCCCAAACATCGGTCGGTTGTCGTTGTTGTCCAGGACGGTCACGTAAACTCTGACATCAGTGTGCAGACCTCCACCGTCGGTGGCGCGAACAACAATTTCATATCCTGAGCGCGTCTCGACGTCCAGCTTCCGGAGCAGGGTAATCTCGCCGCTCGTGTTACACATTCCAAAATGTCCGTCTAGATCAGTGCTGATAATGCCGTACGTCACGTAACCGTTCAGGATGGTGGAGCGTTGGTTGGCAGGGTCCGCGCTCAGATCAATCTGGTCCAGGTCAGTCGCGTGCACGGTTACAAGCGTGGAGCCTAGCGTAGCGTTCTCGTGCACGCTCACGGCGTACGAGGGCCTTTCGAATACTGGATAGTTGTCGTTGATGTCGATGACTCTGATGCTGAGGCTAGCCGTGGCTTGCATGCCGGGATTACCACCGTCCTGCGCAACAATCCTGAGAAAGTACTCCCGGTGCTGTTCCCAGTCTAGGCTGCCCGCCTGAAACACTTGACCAGACTTGCTATCGATCCGGAAAGTGTGATAGTCAAAGTTACCTCCGCCGGCTGCCCGATCATCGATCAGGCCGTACGTCAGGTGGCCGCTGCTGCCAACGTCCGCGTCGGTTGCGACTGCCGTCACAATAGGCGCCGTAAGAGATAGAGTGTTGTTCTCTAACAACGACACAGCGTACGCACTGGGCGCGAATATCGGCTGATTGTCATTAGCCTCTGTTAGTATGAATGTGAGTGTGGCTGTATCGGACTTGATGGTGCGCCCGCCATAATTCGATGCGGTGAGGTCCAGCGAGTAGTTTTTCGCTCCAGTGTCGTAGTCTAATGACGTTCCCAAACGCACGTCGCCGGCGAAGTCGATAACAAATATGTTCTGTTGCGGTTTGGGCGCCTCCCACGCGACAATGTTGTTGGCGGAGACCGTGTCTCGATCCTCCGCTCTCATCTTAGTAATGAATGTTTGGTGACGCTCGGCAATTTCGGCGGCAATGGTGGACGCGCCCAGGACCGGCGCGTAATGGTTCACGTCGTTCGACACCGTTATCCTCACCTGTGTGTACTGCGTGACCTGCGTTGCCGTGTCGACCAGGCGCAGCACAATGTGGTAGTAGGACTGGCGCCTGACGTCCAGTCCACCGTTGACAACCACTTGTTTGCTGGACGTCACCGCCTGGAAGTCAGTGACGCCGGCAGTGTCGATTGCCAGGGCGTAGCTGCCGGAGCCCGAAATCGAGATCGGCGCGGCCCTGGTCGTCGTTGTCTCTGGAATGGTGGACGTGATGTCGATGGCGTCGAACCGCGGCCCGCTGGACAGATTTTGCACGAAGAATGTGACCGAGGCCGTTGCGGTGTGCAGGCCATCACTGACGCTGAGCTGCAGAGTCAGGGTCTGACCAAGCAGCGTGCTGGCGTCCACCGATAGAAGCAGGCGAGCAACGCCACCCACCTGGGTCAGTGTCATGGATGAGGCCGCAGTGCCACCCGTGACCGTGTAGTGCAACTGCGAGCTGGCGTCAGCGTCCACCGCCTTGACGATGAACGCATCGTCGCCCTGCGTGCGCACCGACTGGATTGTCTGGCGGTACGTCTGCGGGCTGAACACGGGCGGGTTGTCGTTGGCATCCTGCACCATGAGGTACAGAGAACCGCTGCCACTGAGCGCCGGACTGCCACCATCATACATGTGAATATACACGCTGTACAGATCTCTCGTCTCGGCGTCGACATTGCCCTGCAGTAGTATGGCGCCGGTACTCGATTCCACCCTGAACAGCCCCTCGTCGTTACCGCCGGCAATAGAAAAGGTGACACGTCCATTAGGTCCCTTGTCGCCGTCTACGTACGGCACATACCCGACGATGTCACCCACCGTCAGAGTCTCGTTGATGTGTACGGTTGGCAACACACTCGGCAAATGCGGCCGGTTGTCGTTCAGATCCAGAACGGCAATGGTCACGATGACAGTGTCTGTAGCCGGCGCTGAGGACGCACTATTGTTAGCCACAACGGTCAGGCGGTACACCTCCTGCTGTTCTCGGTCGAGCGCCTTGACGGTGTGCACAACACCACTCGACGCGCTCACGGCAAACCGGCCAGCGCTGTTCCCGGCCGTGATACTATACGTCACCAAACTGTTGTCGCCGATGTCGGGATCCACAGCGTGGACACGCGCCACCACCGTTCCCCCTGCCGTGTTTTCCGTAATGGTGGCGTTGTACGACGCGTTCACAAACTTCGGCGGCGAGTCGTTGACGTCGGCGATGGTGACCTCGAGGCGAGACACTGTGCTCAGCGGAGGCACGCCACTATCGGTGATAGTCACGGTCAGATTGTAGATATCCACGGTCTCTCGGTCCAGAATGCCGTTAACGCTCACCAGGCCCGACTTGGGGTCGACCGAGAACGGGGCTGGGTCGGTCGCCGTCGCTATCAGTGCGAACGTCAACTCGCCGTTACTAGTAGCGTCCAGGTCGGTGGCGTTCAGCTGTACGACGCCGGAGTTGTTCTTGGCGTCCTCGGGCACGGTGACCGTGTACACTGGACTGCTGAACACCGGGTGATTGTCGTTGACGTCGATCACCTTCAGTGTAGCGTTGGTGGTGCTGGACAGCGGCGGAATGCCGCGGTCTTCGGCACGCACCACAATGTAGTAGGTGTGCTGCACCTCGTAGTCGAGCGCGCGCATGAGCGTGATCTCGCCGGTGCGCGGGTCGATGCGAACGGCGTGGCGAGTGTCGTCGTCGACGATACTGTACCAGACGGTGCTGTTGTGCAGGTCGGGATCCGTGGCGTTCACGTACCCGGCGCTGTTGCCCTGCATGCCGGCCTCGGCAATGCTCACCACATGAGGCCCGGGGCCAAAGTCGGGCGGCGAGTCATTCACATCGTCGAGCGTGATTACGACGCTCGCCGTGCCGGTTAGGCTGGGCGAGGCCGTGTTGATGGCACCAACCGTCAGATTCACAACGGCCAGCGTCTCGCGGTCCAGCGGCCGCTTGTTGCGCAGGCTTCCTGTGAGCGGGTCGATTGCAAACCAGTCGCGCGCGTCGCCGGCCAGGATCTGGTAGCGCAGCACTCGGTGGGCGACATCAACATCGGCATCGCTGGCCGTGACCGTCAGTATGGTGGTGTTGACGGGCACGTCCTCGCTCACAGTTGCACTGTACTGTGACTGGTTGAACATGGGCACCAGGTCATTGTAGTCACGTACGTCGACTTGCAGGGTGGCGTTGCTGGTGAACACGCCATCGCTCACCCACACGACGGCACGCAGACCGGGCAGAGTCTCGCGGTCGAGCCGTCGTACCAGCGTTACGTTCCCAGTGGCCGGTGACAGGTGGAGGTACCCTAGAGCCGCCGCACCACCACCACCGTTTGGTGTCTCCGTCATGTTGTACGTTAGAGTGTTGCCAACGTCAGCATCAGTGGCTGACAGACGGAATAAAACCGAATTCACCTGCAGAAGAAATACAGAAAAACATGCAGAACCGCTCTTACAAAATGGGGGGGGGGGGAGCAAACGTTTGCCTATAGAACGGTTCTTGCAAGAAATTTTCATTCGTTGAAATTAAAGTTTTAATTACATATATACATTGACTAGAGGTCTGAGACGTGTGTGAGAGGTGAAGGCAGTGAACTCAAGGTTTTGCGGAATTTTCGTGATTTTTGCTTCAGGAAAGGCAAGGAAGGAAAGGGCAAACAACCATTCAGAATTCAGACAAGCTTTTTAAGATCCCTGTCTACAGCTCGTGTCACATGTTCAGTAGAACTCCCCCTATCCGGGCAGGTTGAGACCGGGCACGGGCCGTAACTAGAAATTGCCCGCAACTCAGATCATATACTTTGTGTATGCAATAGGGTATCAACGAACACTTGTTTATGCCTATCAAAACTATTTGGTGCCAGAAAAGCCCAGTTTTATGACTACTGCTGTGTCGAAGAAAGGTGACAGGCGCACGGGAGTGCCCGGATCAGGGGAGTGCCCGGATCAGGGGAGTGCCCGGATCAGGGGAGTGCCCGGATCAGGGGAGTCCGGATTGGGGGGAGGTTTACTGTACTGTCTTTAGGACTAACACCAGAGGACAGTGGTATTTGTTTGCAAAACGGGAGTTCTTCATATCCATATTAATTGTTATACCCAATGAGCACACAGTGCCTGCTCATGTATATCCTGTCATACTGTATAATGCATGGCAAAATTTCAAGCGAATCCATCCTGACAACTCTCAGCTGGATAAGCACATCAGTGCCACTTCCACGTCCTTCCCAAACTCTCCCATCATGCCTTCGAACACCAGATTTATCCAATAGAGTTATGAATACTAGTTCTAGTTTTTCAAAAGCGAAAGTTTCTCATATCAGTGTTCTTGTTGTAACAATGTTTCACTCTATGTGCATCCCGGAGGCTGGCTGCTTACCAGTGTGGCCTCGGACACATTGTACACCAGCAGAGAGCTGCTGAACAGAGGTGCATTGTCGTTGATGTCCACAACGCTGACAGCAGCCCAAACCGTCGCAGTGAAGCCCGCAGCATCCGTCGCTTCCACCGCCAGCAGATACGCGGCAGTCATTTCTCGATCAAGCGCAGCAGCCACCCTGATATCACCACTGTTTGTGTCGACACTGAAATGTCCTTGTGCATTGCCAGCTACAAATCTGAAGAGCATACAGAAAGGTAGGAATACAGGAAGAGTCGTTGAGTCAGTTTGACGCATTCCAAAAATCACATCAAATACCTCAAGGGTGCGTTGGCCTGTCAGTGTCTGTGTGTGTGTGTGTGTGTGTGTGTGTTTGTTTGTTTTTGTTTTTTTTACAATGATCACAGCTCACAGGCAAAGACAAAAAATTGCATAGTGGGAGCATAGTGATGGTGAGGCTTTTTGCCCTCAGCCGACCTGAGGTCTCGACGTCATGGGGACATAAAACGCACCAAAAAAGAAGAAAAATGAAAGGAGTGACAGGTACATGATACGAAATGTTAGGAGGAGAGACAGTACATTAGAAGGAGGGGAATGATAAGAAAGACAGTGCTAGGAGAAGAAGGAGAGAAAAGAAGAACAGACGTTATTGGGAATAGTATGTGGAGCGGAATTTGGAAGTCATGGGGTGAGGCAGATATGATGCTGATGATCAGAGATGGTCATGTGCCCACGACCAGTCGTTGGTCTTCAAATAGCGGTTGGCTGCAACTTTGAAGTGTTGCAAGTTCTTGGTGCAGAAAGGACCAGAGAAGACTCCGGCGGGCAGCTGGTTCCAGACGGGGAGTGTGTGTGTGTGTGTGTGTGTGTGTGTGTGTGTGTGTGTGTGTGTGTGTGTGTGTGTGTGTGTGTGGGTGTGTGGGTGTGTGTGTGTGTTAACCATGGACTGCTTCTGGCTAGATTAACCCTTGTGTAATCAATGGTGCTAGTGAAGCTTACATGTATATCAGATCCACTCTGATTTAGCCACCCACACTAGTACCAAGTATTACCTTCACTGGGGGCAGGGGTACCTGCAGTTGGATCCCGGGACAGATACCCTGATGCCGTCAATCCTTTTTCTGCACCTTGTCCTTACCCACTTACTGAGGTGTGGTGAGCCCATAAGTGGGATCATTTCAAGTCCACCCTAGTTTGGGGATTTCAGGGGGTGTCGGCCGTTGAGTGGTTCAATGGCTAATTGAGTCATCTTTCCAAGATTCCTTTTGAGTCTCTCTCCCCTCTCCCGGGGAGACCCACGTGACCAGTTTTGGCAGTGAGCAAGTACAAGTACAAGTGTGTGTGTGTGTGTGTGTGTGTGTGTGTGTATGTGTGTGTGTGTGTGTGTGTATGCATGCGTGCGTGCACACGCGTGCATGTATGCGTATACAATGGATCCTGATAGAATGCTCCTGCTTAGTTGCCATCAGGTCACGTTGACCTGTACGAGTACGTACCGATATGTGGAGACAGCGTTGTCACCAACATCATCATCCAGTGCAGACACAGTCAGCACAAGCATGCCTAGACTGGCGTTCTCCATGATCGACGCGGTGTAGTTGGCGGTGAAGTATGGCGCCTGGTCGTTGATGTCCGTGACGTACAGAGTGAGATTGGCGCGGCCGGTCAGGCTCGGCACGCCTTGATCCGTGGCAGCTACGGTGATGGTGTATACCGCCTGTGCCTCGCGGTCCAGACCCTGATGAACCGATATCACACCTGACATGCATTGATGCATGAGAGGGATGAGCAGAAGAATGACACGGGAGCTGAATTAGGAATACACCGTACAGCGTAAAGATACCGACTGCATCAGTTGTATTTGTCGTTGAATGCCTGTACCGGCCATGCAATGAGTGCGTTCTATTCATTGAGGAGTTGCGGGGTGAACAGTGAGAAGAGTCACACACGGCACGGAGAACAACAAGATTTTCTCAGTGAAACAAACAAATACAGTGTCTGAAGACTTGATTTCCTCAGTGAAACAAACAAATACAGTGTCTGAAGACTTGATTTCCTCAGTGAAACAAACAAATACAGTGTCTGAAGACTTGATTTGCTCCGTGAAACAAACAAATACAGTGTCTGAAGACTTGATTTCCTCAGTGAAACAAACAAATACAGTGTCTGAAGACTTGATTTCCTCAGTGAAACAAACACAATACAGTGTCTGAAGACTTGATTTGCTCCGTGTTATGTGTACACTTCCTTCCGGGTGGGGATGGTGGCCGGGGTTTGGGATGGCTAGAATTTTCCGGCTAAATTTTCCGGCTATGCAGAGTTCAGCCAGTGTTGTTTGTCGTTTCGACAATCTAAAAATGGCTAGAATTTCCGGCTTGTTTTTTAAGATGTTCAAATTCCACTTGCTCACCGGTCAGTGGGTCGATGCTGAACAGACTCGATGGCCAATCGCCCGCATCCAACGCATAGGTAAAGCTGCCTCCGGCGCCAAGGTCAGGGTCCGTCGCATTGACCTGCATGGCACATGAGCAGAGCGGCACAAGGCACGAGAGTGTGAAACACTGCGGACGACGTGTACTCCGACACCGTTTCAAGTTCTGACGCCAGCATCAAGTAAGGTAAGGTATTGGCCAGAGAAATCCAACCTCATGAATAAAATAGTCCCGGGCGCTGGGCAGCACCAGCACTGCACATACTGCTCTGCCGGGCGCTACACAGTCCTAGCACTGCACATACTGCTCCTAGCACTGCACATACTGCTCTGCGCGCTCGAATGCGGCACTACTATGTTCATGAGGTTGGATTTCTCTGGCCAGAACTGTACATGTGCAGAGGTCAGGGAGAACGTATCGTGTCATTGCATCAACAACACATATGTTAGCAGTTGAAATACTGCTAACAGAGTCATCGATGCAAGACATAGAAAACGGAACATTCTCTAACACTGCTTGTAGATGTGAATAACCTACTAGTGGTGTGCGCATTGTGTGATCCTTATCACCAAGTCCATACTACCTCCAGGTCAGGTATTGCAGTCAACACTAATATAGACGGTCATTCGTTCCAGCGGGAAGAATTGCCACAATGCAGTTGACGACATTGCCACAATGCAGGACATGATCGCACACGTGTGTATGTTGCCAGATTCTCTTCAGTGTAGGTATGGGCCGCTCTAGGCGGGTCATCATACCTGGTAAATGGTCCGTGGCAATACGCTGCTCAGGTGCTCCTGCAGGTGAGTTGCCATGTTTGACGGAAACACCGGCGCTACGTCATTGACATCTGTCACCATCACGGTCAGGTTGGCCAGGGACGTCTTGGGAGGGAAGCCGCCGTCCTTTGCAACCACCCAGAACACATGCTGTGATCTGAGACAACGCAAAGCAAGGGTGTTATTCGCAAGAAGCAAGGAACAAAATACCGGGGTAAGCAGCATTCGGCCCAGCAAGGAAAAGACAGTGACACAAACTGCTTAAAAATCTGCACGGTTTTGCAATTGTGTGATGCCACTGTTCAATGGAATGAAACCCAGCGAAAATTAATTCCACTCTACTTCAAGGTAGTACAAATATCTGAAGGAAACTTCAAGAGCACACATTAAATGTTATATGACCGTACCTCACCATTGCAGTGTCCATACCATGCCTGCACATCCTTACCTGACATCTCTGTCCAGTGAAGTGGCCACAGACACAACTCCTGTCACACTGTCCACATCAAAGCTGCCTCCCAGCCGGAACAAGTCCGGATCTCCTCGTTGGATCTCATACCTTATCTCACCAATCTGCGAGTACCAGTAGAGACAAACAGAGAGGACACCCCATCAAGAACTATCTCCGTTGCTCACTCACTTTGCATTTAAATTATGCTGAACGGCCCGACAAAATGAACCGTTAGTCTGTCTGCATAATCAGCAGCCAGCCACTTGCCAACTGCATGACATTCTAGCGAACTGTCTTGCTACAGGTAACCAACTACACAGATAACATACCTGCCTGGAGTCTGCATCAGTGGCAGTGACTTGCAGTACTACACAGATAACATACCTGCCTGGAGTCTGCATCAGTGGCAGTGACTTGCAGTACTACACAGATAACATACCTGCCTGGAGTCTGCATCAGTGGCAGTGACTTGCAGTACTACACAGATAACATACCTGCCTGGAGTCTGCATCAGTGGCAGTGACTTGCAGTACTACACAGATAACATACCTGCCTGGAGTCTGCATCAGTGGCAGTGACTTGCAGTACGCTCGTTCCTATGGGCAGAGACTCGTTGACGGTGGCCGAGTAGACGACGGGACTGAACACGGGCGCGTTGGGATTCAGCTCGTGAACTTCCACGACCACTTTCACCGTAGTAGCCCTGCAAGCATTAACAGGAGGGGAAGATTTACACGGACAATGAGTTGGCCAAGTGTGTCAGGATCCTTACCGGATTTCGACGAGCACTCCAGTTTGATACAGAACCAAATTGAGCACTACACACACTTCCCCTTCATGCAGGACTATTCTGATGGCTAAGATAACATCCGTAGAGTGACGGGCAAGTTCTAACTTATAAGACATCACAGTACCATACACACGTGCGTGGTCACAAGAGCAAAGGAAGTTGACGGGTGCGTGTTTACAGCAATCCACCAAAGACGCATACACCGCCTAGCCCGGTGGAGTGCCTGGTTGAGAACATCCGCTTTCAAATTACCCCGCATCGTAGTACTTCATCACACCTTTTATTTAAAAAATAATAATCAATGCATACTTGGCGCAATACTGTTACTTCGAAGTATTTGTTGTCATAGTACACTGCATGCAGTAGCACATGTCCGTCCGCAGGTACAACTGAAGTCTGTTACAGCTCTACCAAACATTATTTCAAGCAGGGTCTGAAAAATGCACTACCGCAGCACAAGTTACCTCTTCACAAGTGCTCCTTGGTCTTCAGCACGTGCCGTGAAGTTGTAGAAGCGCTTCGTAGCGTAGTCCGCTGCTTGCAACCCTTCGTACGTTACGGTACCCGTGGCGGAGTCGACTGCGAAGGACGAACTGTCGCCGCCGAGAATGCTGTACTGAATGCGCGCATTGTCACCCTCGTCAGCATCGGTTGCATTCAGCTGGAGAGCGTCTTTCCCGCGGACCTGGCCGTCCAGGATATTGCCGACGAACGGGCTCGTGACGAAGCGAGGTGAGTTGTCGTTGGAGTCGGACACAACAATGGTGACGTTGACGGACGACGATTGCTGCTTGCCGATCACATCCTGGTCACTGGCGACCACCACTAGGTGATACTCTGCAGTTGTCTCTCGGTCCAGGGTGGTCAACAACTGGAACACACCGGTAACTGGATCAATGGAGAATGCACCGCCGGCATCGTTACCAGGCGCAAAGCTGTACCGCACTACACTGCCATTCCCAGGTCCGTCCGGGTCTACAGCCGAGACAGATAGGATGTTGGTGCTGCCCGGCGATTCGCTCTCCGAAACGGGTGCGAGGTACGACGGCAACAGGAAGCTGGGAGCATTGTCGTTGACGTCCTCGACGATGACCGTTATGCGCACTGTGCTCTGGCGCATGGGGCTACCTTCGTCCTGTGCTGCCAAGTCTAGATGGATTATCGGCGAGCGCTCGTAGTCCAACATGGAGACCAGTACGATACGGCCGGTGGTGCGGTTGACAGCGAATTCCCCGTTTGCATTACCGGCGACCAGTGCGAACGCAACCTCAGCGTTACTGCCAAAGTCGGTGTCGTTGGCATAGGCATGTGAGAGGATGACTACGCCCGGTGCAGTCGCTTCCGATATCGTCACGTTGAACGGAAGTGGCTCAAATATGACCGGGGAGTTGTCGTTGGCGTCTCCGACGCGTATCGTCAGGTCGGCCGTGTCGTGGAGGCCGTCCGGATCGGTTGCATTGATGACCAGAGTGAACTGCTGCCGTGCATCCAGCAGAAGACTGCTGTTCACAGTGACCACGCCGGTATCCTGGTTGATAGAAAACTTGCCGGCATCATTTCCTAAACACAACCAACACCGCAACAGCCACAGGTAAAGAAATCAGCAAAGAGGCAGAGTTACTTTGAAGTGCCCTATTTGCAGGAACACTGACGAACATTGATATAAAGTTATGAACATTGATATGAGCATTGATATGAACATTTACATGAACATTGATATGAACATTTACATGAACATTGATATGCACAATGATATGAACTATGATGTGAAGTAGCAATGAGCAACTAAAGGACAGAAGGCGTTTAAAAATCATTGACCCACCCTGCATGTGCATGCAATCCCTATCCCCTATCCTCTATCCCCATATCCACTCCACGTACTCCCGTCAAGCACACACTTCCCGTAGGCTACGCCAAGTCAGGCTACAACTCACCGCTCGCAATACTGTAGAACACTCGTCCATTGGAGATTGTGTAGACGTAGACGATTGTGTCCAGGCCGTTTGCATCCTTTACCGTGCGTTGCTCTCGCGCCACCTGACGAGGGCAATAACACAAGTCGAACGTGCACACATACGTGCGAGCACACACTTACGGGATTAGTGATCCCAGTGGCTGCTTTTCTCAGAGCCCCTTTCAGGAGAAAGTTCTATTCAAAAATGTTGACAGTTCGCCTGAGACCCACAGACTGTTTCCCCGTCCGCAGGAACACCACCACCCCAGCTCGAGGGCTTTAAAAATCAACGGAGGCTATGCATAGAGAGTGAAACAAAAGCTATAATTATTGTGGTGGTTCAGTGTTTCATGTTGAGTGGACTATTACCGCCGAAGTCGCAACTTCTAAGTTCAATACGTTGCTGCTATACCTAATATGGTGCTGCAGTAAGGTATTGTAGGCCTGCAGGCTAGCAGTGCATCTGGCCATTGAACTGAAAATAGCTCTCTCCGATGTGATTTCACTGGCATGAACTGTTTAAGAGTAGAGCCCACACGCTCTCTACCATTAACACTGCAAAAGTCAAACTCATTTCACAATAAATTATTCCAACGTTTCGAAAATAATGAACTGTTTGCCAATTCTAAAATACTGACACTAATTATTATTAGTAATGACAGTACTTACTTCGTCCGGATCCGACGCGTTGGCTTGAAAGATGAAATCACCCACGGCTGCATCTTCCAGCACGACCACGCTCGACAGTCGCACGCTGAACTTCGGCGAATTGTCATTCACATCTCTCAAGCTCACCTGCACGCTGTGGGTCTTCGAGTCCCCGGCGGTGTTTCGAGCACGAAGCGTGCATTTGTAGACCGTTCTCGTCTCTCTATCCAAGCGTTCGGATGTCGTCTGCAGCTCGCCATTCTGCAGAACATTGAAATACTTGTAGTCGTCAACTTGATCAACGGACAAAGTTACTGGCCGTGCCAGGGTGTCCCTCGTTGAATACGTTGCCACCAGGGAACCGCTAGGGAGCTCCTCATTGATGGTGACCTGCTGTGGGCCGCTGAACAGGATTTGGCCAACACAACATGTCGTGCTTAGGCCCAGGACTAAGCTGACCGCGATGACTGCCGCTCCTGCTACGGTCATGACTGGCTGGGAGCGATGGGCGAAGACAAGCTACAGCCTGTGTGGTGCGCGTGCACGCACACACACGCACGCACCACATACACACACGCACACACACACCACACACGCACATACACACACGCACACACACACACACACACGGAGAAGAATAACACAGACCATGAAGATCAAGACAAGAAGGGTGTGAACGGATCAGCTGGGGCTGATACACCAGTAATCACCATGATCACGCCGCCCATGACCTAACGATCTGGTTATGCCCAAATGCAACTCACCCAATGGGCCAATGGTATTCCTAAAATCGAGAAGCAATGAAAGCTTCCGTCGTCACGATTCGGATCGCGTTGTTGTCCGCTCAGCTATCCAGAGTGGGTAGCCGACGAGGTCGTCAAATAGCAGAAACGGCTACCACCGCTTCATACAGATGGGAATACTTGAAGCATGTGGGCTTCTCGTCCATACAATGATGAGTGTAGCGACGTTGATACCCACAGATGCAAAGGCTCGGATTGTGGCGCTGTTTCCGAGAGAGGTTGAATTAGACGAGTATCTTTTCTCGCCCAGAAAGCTAACCAGCCACTACTCAATCGTCTCCGCTGGACGTTCAATCTACGGCTTTTCTCATCGAGATTTTAGCACGGAAGTTAGCATCAGTGTCGATTTCCCGAAGACCTACGTTCGATGAGCAAGTGCAGGTGTCGGACTTCTTGCACACTGTACTTCAATCTTCATACACAGCTCTTGCAGCAGTGACCCTGACGCCGGTCAATTGAACTCTATTTCTCACTCTGTGAAACACAGTTGTTCACGGTCGTCGTCGATCCTACCGATCAGCAGCTCGTGTCTCATCGAAGCCAGCCGCTGGCACGGGTTTGACTGAGACTGTTCGTCAAGGAGTTTTGCAGGACAAGTCGACTGTTGACTGAGTCCGTTGCAGCCAACGACAAGAAATGTTCAAAACCACACCACTCACCAGTGCACACGAGCTGTCCTGCATCTACTCCGTACATCGGAATGCTAAACCTAACCGAAGTCTGACCTCACACCACCCAGTCCGCACACACACACCCAAAACAGGCACAGGCAGATGAGTAGATCGAGTGCTTCATCAGGTGCATTGGCGCAGCATGCATTGTAGACTGATCTACATACATGTAACATGACTTGTCGACTATAGTCCATCTACTGATAGTGATACATGTACATATTAATTACCTCCCGAATATCATCCCGACTGCGTAGCAGGCCGAAGGGATGATATGGGTACGGTATTACCCAACAGCGTCTACGCACTTTGGGCTTCGACGCAACTACTGTACAATGCATCCTGAATACAATCAAGAGTACATAACCCCCAGGGGGTTGTGTACTCTTGATGCAACTACAGTACCAAGGCTCGTACAGCCATACCAAAACAAGATGCTGCCTTTCTTTACAATCCAGTCAAGGTTTGAGAGCGATGGAGACAAGACTAGTTGCATTTGAGCTGTAAATAATAATAATAATCTTTATTTCAGGATTGCCCAAAGGCTATAGGCTAACGCCTATCTGGGGGATCTCCTATTTCAATATTTGTGGACTGAAGTATGTGTGTAGTTGGCCTAGAGCATAAAAGACGAAGGTTGCATTGTTTTAAAATTAATTAATGTAGTATTGACGTCACTGTGATGATACATTGATTTGGTTCAATGTACAATTTAGGTTACTTCATGCCGAGGTACAACGTCATCATGCCTGGATGCTGGTGCTGACTTCCTTATCATTAGATGGGCGTGGAACTACTACTTTCAACGGTTTGGGACCCTTGCTGTACACTTTCCGTGCAGGCAGTAATTACATTGTACCTCGTCGGATATTGGCACCAGTGAGTAAAATGCCTTTCATCACTCTCGGCCACTATGCAATCAGAAAAACGTTGACCTTGTTATAGGCTAACTTTAGTCGATCTCATGTAATAAGGCAACACTGCCTGTTTGTTATTCGACGTTAAATAAACCAATCCAATCCAATAGGCATACCGGATTTGTAGTAGCATCTACGTTTTAGATTGCTCTTGTGTGGTAATCGTACTAGACGCAATGGCATGATAATCACTGCAGGTAGCATATTGCATGTGGATTTCTACACACTATCTAAAAGTTACATCACACATGCATTGCTGAGCTCTTCTTTCACACAATATTCTGTGCAAGATTTTTCCTCTCACTTTCACGTCTTAGTACTTTTTGTGTTACGGTATCTCCCGGCCCCTTGCACTAGCAATTAGTAATTTTCAATCGGACGGCTATACTTTGCGTAGTTTCGACTGAGTTTAGAAACAGTGAATGAGAATTGATGCACTTCGAAGTCTCCTGTGTGTAGCAGTGTTGAGTTGAATAGTGACTGGAGTTCGTCACAGTGTTTGTTTGTGTGGAATGATGGAATCTGGTTTTGGACGTAGTCGCCGCGGGAGGTAAGTAAGTAGTTCTCTCAGCTCAGGTGCGTGCTGCACTTTTAGTAGGGAGGTTTAGTCCCACGTAATCCGTGGGTACTTTACGTGGGTGTACCACGTGATACTCAGTGACCCACGTACAGACGTTTTCTGATTCACGACATGCCGTGTATGGAGGCTCACCCACGTTCCGCCAGAACGTGGGTGAAAATCAGAATGGAGCGCATTGTGCAAGCTGTGAGGGTGCTCAGCTGAAGAAGTTTCCGAAGCACGAAATCAAAATATTCGATGAGCTTCTTAGGCCCGGGTAGCTTCGTCTTTGACCAGGTTTGGGCCTTTCGCTTTATGCTTTTGTTTGTTCCGTGTGACTAAACACAACATTGCAACGTGGGTGCCCTTCATCCACTTTACGTGGATCACCCACGTACGCGTTTTCGTTACGTGGGAACTAAACCTCCCTACTATCCAGGGCCACGGTGCAGCGGGTGCACCCTTTCACGGTTCTGTGTAGTGCATTTTGTCGATCGAAAGGAAGCCACTGAGATGCATTGCATCGAATCGAGAGGGAGTCGGTCAGGGTGCACCGCAGGTACGGGAAGAGAGCATAAAAGCCAAGCAGTACAATACATGTAGTAGTATTGATTATTTGACTAGGGGAGTCCCAACAGGCATGGCCTTGTTACAGGGAACCCTAGCCTAGGTGAATCTTTGTGAGGTGAGCAAAGGTACCAGCAGATTGTGCCTGACGACAGTTTGGAGGAAGAGTGTTCCACCGACCTGCCGCCAGAAAAGAAACTGAGCGCAGTCCATACCCAATGTACAGTAGGTAATACTCTTTAAGCAGCTGTATCCTGGCCACGAGTACTTCGAAGTACGAGCATTTGTGTGCGGGCCAACTGAACGCAGGAGAAACAGTGACTGAAGGAGGGGGCTGAGCAATTGATGACAAGCAGCGATAGACCAAAACATTATAGTTTCAAATTAACTCTTTGCTCAAACGAATACAGATGACACCGTTGTAAAACTAATGCAGTTGGGGTCATTCTATCTAAACCAAATGCCTTCTTCATCGCAATATGGCTGACCGTTACAAGCCTGTTATATAGGGTAGTTTTCAAACAGTGCACATACGCATTACTTGCATATTCTAGAGTAGACTGTATAATTGACAAGAAGAAAGTTCTCCGAGCTGTAGCTGATAAATTGCGACAGCCATGAGCAAAACAGTCTAGTTTAGCGAAGACCGCTGAACACACCTTTTCTACTTGTGGGCGGAACGTTAGATGCTCATCGATTAGTATACCGAGGTATTTCACAATAGAGACAGGGGAAATGACACAATACCTTTAAAGGTCAGGTACAGGGCTGGGCTCAGTGCAGGCAGGGCAGGACGCCGTATCAACATGAACTGTGTCTTTAGTGGGGTTGAGCAGAAGGCCTTTCTCATCAAGATATTGCTCTAGCAACCGCATACCATCCTGCAAGCGTAGCATAATTGTAGCCACATCAGAGCCGAATACGTAGAACGCAATTATAAATTGTATACCGTCTATCGTCCCGATTCCCTTCGCAGGAAGTAGGCAGCAGGGAGTACAACTCTCTCTCTCTCGTTTTGCCTTGCCACTAGCACTGTATCTAGACTAGAGTCATCTAACCCTCTTCTTCGACTTCCAGTCGCCTCAGAAGAAACGAGTACCTTTGTGATCAGCAGACAACCACAAAACAAAGCGAGGCAAAGAGGGCCTAGCGCCTGGCAGTCGCGGCCAGTCAGTTCCCGCAATCGTTATTTTGTCAAGCTCGCTAATGGTCTCCGCTGTGAAGAGGCTTAGCATTAAATTGCTTACGATAATTGTTGCGTTGACTAGCCTGCCTCCTGGCTCTCCTTGCCCACCCACCCTACCACTCCTATAATACTCACTCGCGTCCTCTGTCAGATCTTTTCTTTTGTAATAATCTCATTCTACAGCCTGGACACATTCCTTTCCGTACATTTCTAAATTCAGCTTGTCCATTCGCCTTTATATCATCGCAAAATGGCAGATTCAGGCTTCTCGAAAAGCATAGAACTTTGCATCACCATACAAAGCGTATTTGCGGACAGTTCCTCGACTTCCGCTCCTCTTCTTTATTCATAATTATACCAAACTTAACATGCTTGGAAGTTGAAACATATCAGAAAGGTCTTTGCCTGCCTCCAGTTCGCTCCCTGCCTCATGTTATGGGGGTCGTTTGGTGATTCAGAATCGCCACCAACTAGCTATGCCCACGGGAAAATGATTGAATAGGGAGCTTGAGCTCCCACAAGTACTCGAAGTATATTGTCCTTGACACGCATGCGGATGATGCTTCTTTATTGCAACTGCTCTGTGCTCGGATTTCTATAACTTAGAACCTTCCAAGTTGGAAGGCTGTTGGAGTGCGCATCCAAGATATGCTAGTGCTCTGTGCTTTTAATTTTTTTCAATAATGTAGCTGGACTACTCATGCCTTTCTCTGCCGGGCGCGCCCAAGGGATTCAACTACTACTGGTGTATGTATCCCAATAGGACGTTTTACCTGGATCGGCGTTTGGGACAACCAACGGCTGTTCTTGGATACTACAGTGCAGTACTAGTATTCAGTTTGTGTTCATCTCTCTCTTGATATGTACGTCAGCAGAAGACATTAGTGGATCGAAAGTGTTCACGAACTTCGCGTGTGCGCGCGCGTGTGTGGGTATGTGTGTGTCCGCCATGCAAACAATTTGATTAGCACCCAGAACACTGACTGCAGGTTTGCCGAGTCGAAGGTTCGAATGGACTTCTCGTAGGCTCTGGATGGCAGTCGTGAGTCACTCAAGTGAGAATTCAAGTCGGCAGGAAAACCGCGAGCTCCCATGTAGGGAGCAACACACAGTTCCTCAGAACACTGACTATCGACTATTACTATTATAAAAAAATTCACGGTTCGCGTCAGATTCGGCTAGAGACCGAGTTTTCCGCATCCGTAGGAACGCCACCGCTCTTCAAGGGTCGAGGCGCAGGGAGGTGAGGAGATCAGACCCACCAAAGACTAGTGGTCAAAGACCGAAATCCCATTCACTGCATCCATGCTTCCCTCGTGCCAGGCCACGAGTTCCCAATTAAAAGTGGGTCGCAGCACGGCTGGAAAAAACCTTCCACTTCCAAGCAGGACTTGCCACCTGTTGCCCCCTGTTTCTCAATCATGGTCTTAGACCATTGGCATCCCACTATGCCTGCCTTTACTGTTATGGAGTGAGTTCATTTTGAGGTGCAAAAGTTATAAACACGAGTGTGGGATACGAAAAGAATGCCAAAATGAAGATACATGTGCGACTATGTACAATAATCGTGCTGATGTGCGGATATTGCCTTCAAATTCATAAAGACTACATTACAAACCTAACCGATTTTAAAAGTCGTTTTACACAAACACATGATTGAAGCTTCCGGCAACATAGTCCGGCCACGAGGGTGTGGGATAACGGTCA